TCCACCGATTGCACAACCAAACGTCGGTAGGTTGTTCATTATGTTCGGCTTCTCCTCCTCCTACTCCTCCTCCCCATCCTCTTCCTCCCCCTCCTCCTCCTCCTCCTCCTCCTCCTACTTTTCCTCCTCCTCCTCCTCCTCCTCCTCGCCAGGCCCCGGCGGACCGTCAAGGAGAGGTTCAGGGTAAAACGCCTGTCTCGGGGAGTGTCTCGAGACTTTCGCCCCCGTGCCGACAAAAAACGTCATCGCGGGCGATGTTTCGTCGACGAGAGATGAAGCCGCTCAGACCAAGAGAGAAGCCTGGGATACAGCCAAGGCGCTGCAATCAGGAGCACTGTGGGCTCAGAAGGGGCTCTGATGTTCGGGCCGCTCCTTAGACCTAGATGAGGGAAGCTATTTCGTGGCCGAAGGTCGCCGTGGCCAGAAACGGCCCTTCGTTCCTTCTTCAGCGTTCCTTATTATAGTAGCACGCTGGCTGTATTCCCAGCGCGGGCTACTCGGACGCACCCCTATCGAGGATGAGCGCCTCCCTCGTGTATTATACCAGGGTCAATCCGCTCGAAAGCGCCACGACGCCTGGGATGTGGGATCGATATATCTATGTATACACCCGAGGAAAGCCCCAATCAATTGATGGTTTGAAATGGGATCGAGAAAGATATCGATAAGGAGATCGACCGGGAACCCGGGAACCTGGAACCCACCGAAATCGGCCCAATGACCAGGAACCGGGGAACCCGGAACTGGGAACCCAGGAACCCAGCCGGCTACCAAAATCGGCGAGATTTTTCGCCAAATCATTTAAGTTCCACTAGGACCCCTTCCGTGCAAGCCGTGATTGGGGAATTTTCCTTTTCTTTTATATTTTTACAAGCCGGGGTGGGCGGGGGGAAACCCCGTCCCCCCCCCCCAAACTGGAGCCCCAGGATCGCGGGTTTCTGGGTCCCCGGGACATCCTTGCCAAAGGTCCCCTGGCTCGTCGCGGACCTCCCAGGGCGCTTAGCCGGGTCCTGCCAGCAGGCCCCAAGCGATCACAGGGTTGATCACAGAGGCCGAAGAAAGACCCAAGACAGCACAAGAGCGCTCCAAGAAGGACCCAGAGGGCCTCCAGAGGCCCCCAAGACGGCCCCAGAGGCCCTCAGCAGGGCTCCCAGAATGCAGAAACCGCTTTCTTTTTTCAGGGGAACATGCATTTTCAGCACATTCGCTGTTCGGGTCTTAGCAGCGTCCGAAATAGCCAAGAAGGCCTCCGGTTTCGCCCCACGACGGCCCCAGAGACCTCCAAGAGAGCCTCTAGACGGCTTGGATGACCCCAAGATCGCCCAAGGAAGCCCCAGCTGAGCCAAACAGAGGCCCAACAGGCCATCGCAAGGCCCCGAAGCGAACAGAGCGGTGATCAGAGAGGCCGAAGAAAGAGGCCGAAGAAAGACCCAAGACAGCACAAGAGCGCTCCAAGAAGGACCCAGACGGCCTCCAGAGGCCCCCAAGACGGCCCCAGAGGCCCTCAACAGGGCTCCCAGAACGCAAAAATCGCTCCATTGCCTTCGGGAAGCGTGCATTGTCAGGACATTCGCTGTTCGGGTTTGAGCAGCGTCCAAAACAGCCAAAAAGGCCTCCAGTTTCGCCCCAAACACAACTCCCAGAAATCTGTTGCGAAGCCAGGATCGGGTGCATTCCCCAAGAAGTACTTGCGTTCGCGCGCCCTGTTGCGACCCTCTGCAACCCGCTGCAACATTCTTCGCCGTCCCCCGACGGCGCCCTTCTCCTCCTCTTCCTCCTCCTCCTCCTCCTCCTCCTCCTCCTCCTCCTCCTCCTCCTCCTCCTCCTCCTCCTGCTGTCGCTCCACCACTCGTCCTCCCCCACATCCTCGTCATTTCCTCGTTCTCCGAGATTCCCTCCCTCCTAACATTCGCCCTCCACCCGGCGCCTTTTGGGAGCCCCCAGAGGCCCGGGAAGGGCCAGGGGCCGCCCGATTTTTCGAAGACTTCTGAAAACCACCGCAGGGAAGGCGACAAACTCCCAAGGCCACTCGGGATGGTGCGAACGACAACAATATGCAAAGCCTCAAGGATCAAGGTGCATGGCGCGAAGCGTCAATGCAGCTGTGTGTCTATAAATTCATTGATTCATGTATATTTCTATATATGTCTCTCTCTCTCTCTCTCTCTCTCTCTTCTGTTCAATCAAGACAGTGGACCTCTGGGGAGGGCCAGTCGAGACAACACGGCGGCCTTCCCTGGCGGCCCGCGTCGTTTTTGTTAGTGCGCCTCGTGTGGAGGCTCCTCCTCCTCCACGGCGGGGCCGCCTCGCAGGACGGGTCCTGGGGAGTCGCCCCCCCTCTGCCCCCCTCCTCCTCCTCTCTCCCTCCTCCTCCTCCTCCTCCTCCTCCTCCTCCTCCCTCTCCTCCTCCGCTTCCTCCTCCTCCCTCCTCCTCCTCGCTTCTCCTCCTCCTCCTCCTCCGCTTCCTCCTCCTCCTCCTCCTCCGCCTCCTCCTCCTCCTCCGCGTCCTCCTCCTCCTCCTCCTCCTCCTCCTCCGCTTCCTCCTCCTCCTCCGGCGGGGCCGCCTCGCAAGGCGGAAAAGGGTGGGCCCCGGCAGCAGTCCGGGGACCGGTTCGCTCATAGGTTTAACGACATGCTAGTACTATGTTTAAGTCAGGCCTGTCCCTCTACAGGGGGAATGTTCAAAAATAGTCCAGAAATAGTCTGGGGATTTGATTTGAATATTTTTTGAACATTTTGGAATATGTGTTGAGTATGTTTTATTTTTCGGCGAAGATCTCCCTGTAGGGGGGCACGCCCGACTTGATACCATGTGTGCGTCGCCCCCCCAGGGGCGACGCCCGCGCCGAGAAATCTGACAGTATGAGCTCCCTGGTGGTCGCTTTTTTTGGCCGTACCGCTTGGGAAACGATGTGCTACGATCGGGGGAGCGTAAGACCCGGGTTTGCCAGGACTCGGGTTCGCCATCGTTTTTTGACGACCGCGCCTCGGATTTTGACGAGGAGGAGTTTCGTGGGATGTCTGCAGCGGGAGGCCTCGTCAAAATTCAGGCTCGGCCTCGTCATTTTTTTGACGACCTCGTCGGGGATTTCCGAGTCCCCCGTACCCGGGTCTTACGTCTCCCCGATACGAGAAGGTTGCACGATGTGCTCGGGTCGGGCGCGCGCCTCCGAGGAGGACAAATCGTGCCAGTGTGTCCGTGCGCGTCCACGTCGGGCTGGGCGGGAGGGCCGCCGGTGTCCCGGCTGGCCATCTTCCGACAAGCGGTCCCGACCCTCCCCCGAGATTTGGACGTCGCATCTTCAGGAGGGAAAAAAACACACAGACACAATTAATCATCGATTCCCAGGAAAATATGGGAAAATATGGGAATTGGGGGGGAAGACAAAAACCCAGAAAATATGAGAAAATATGGGGACTATTTTTATTTGTGTGTATTTATTTGTGTGTCCTAATTTCCCTTTACATCTGTTTCGCGCCCGGGCATGTGCGGCCGGGCTCCGAAAGCCCCGCGACCGCCGCGGGTCGAGCCGGTCAGGGTCCGGGTCTCTTTCCGTACATGTGCCGCGGTGTTGGATTTTTCGTGGCGCCTGATCTCGGGTGCTCACTGTGGTCGAGCATCTGACTAAGAAGCCTCCTCCCGAAAAGTTGGGCCGGCGTTTCTTGGCCAATCTGCCGGAAAGCTGGCCCAGTTTCTCGAGCACGTTCGTCCCGCCAGCGTGAACGGCAGAAGTTGGCCCAGGTGCGGTTTAAGGAACTTCGAGAAGCTGGTCCAGATGTCTTAGTTATAGTTCTCTTGGTCATGTGTTTGGGTGTTTTTTTTCGTGACGTCCGATCTCAGGCTTGTTCTGCAGGGGCAAAGTGGGTCCCTAATGCATGTCTGAGGCCCCATGGAGCCTGGATCTGCGCAACCGTCGCCACTTTCGTGGGCTCCTGGGAGGCCCAGCGGAGATGGATCCCACGCAGATCACCTCGGTACCTCGCCGCCCCCTGGGGGGTTGCGATCTGCGCAATTGTCGCCACTTTCGTGGGCTCCTGGGAGGCCCAGCGGAGGTGCGTCCCACGCGGATGACCTCGGCACCTCGCCGCGTCAATGGGAGGCCGACGTGGAAGAAAGTCGGGCGGGTGGCAATGCGCGGTGCCCTGAATGGGGAGTGAAGAAGAGGGCCCTAAAAGGGGCCTTTTTAGGGCTCCGTTTGGAGCCAGCAGGGGCCCGAAGTGAATCCTACAGGGCCCCTTCGGGTTTCTGTTCTCCACCCCCCTTTCTCTGCCACCCCCCTTTTACCACCCGCCCGAGAAAGATGCCGGGATCCCAGACGGATGCTGGGAGGCTCGACCCCACTTCCCGAGGCCGGTCCTCCATGGTGGATGGCCCTGTTTGGCAGGCCCGTGACCCCGGAGCGGCTCCGAGACGTCCGGAGTATGTGTGCGGATGCCCGGCCCTGGGGCCGCTCAAGACAAGATCCTCAAGTTCCGGGGGCGGAAGACCGTCCACACGCCGGAGGCCGGGGTGCGGCACACAGGGGCAGCGCCAGGGGGGGTGGAGGCTCTCAGGGGGGGGGGGAGGCGTCGTCGACCCCCCGTCGCCCGTTCCCCGCGGAGGTGGGGCTCGACAGCCCACCCCGGCCAGGACGGTGCGGGTTCGCGCCCTCGGGGGGCCTGCCGCCGATCCACCTGCGATGCATCTCCGAGTCTGGCTCGATGTTTTTTTGTTTGCGCGTGGCGGACGGAGCTTCGTGCAGCTGCCTGGCTCGATGCTTCCCCCGCCCCCCTGAGCCGGAGATCCGCGCCTGATATACGCTGATGGGATTACTGTTCAATCCGCGGCTGCAGAGGACCCATCCGCTTCCCCCGGGGGTAGTTGCTCGTCCCGGATCGAGTGCTGATGGCGCAGGGGCTTGAAAACGGCCCCCAAGAACGCCGAAAGGGAAACGCCTTGGACGAGAACGACGTGCCCTGGGAGTTCTGGGGAGCGGGCCCCCCCCCCTGGCGTTGCACCTCAGGCACGCGCGCGCGCGCACCCTTCCCTCGCGCGCGCGCGCGGCGGGACGCCGCGCGCACGGGCGTGGCAGGCGGGCGCCACCCCCCGCGGCGCCGCGCGCGTGCCTCGGCGGCGGCGGCGGCGGAACGGAGGCTCGGTGGGCGAGGCTCAATCGAGGCCCCCCTATGCACGGTGCGATGACCACACCGTGTGACCCAGGCCCGTGTGACCCAGGCCCCTTAGATGGGGTCCGAGCAGATGGGGTCGGAGGACTGCGCCGTATCGGTGATGCATCGGCGATGCGGCTCGATGCGGAGCCCGACTTTCGCAACGCCGACGACCCCATCTAGGAGGACTCTAAGTAGGTGAGCGACGAGAAACAACGCATTCGTCTTCATCGACATGGGCGCGTGAGCTGCCACCGTAAGGTCGCGCGTAAGCATCCTCGTTTCAGTCGAGGGTTCACACGCACGGTGCGGCGACCACACCGTGTGTTGGTACGGCCGAAATTGGAACAGTCGGACCGAGGTCTAAGATCGAGGTCGGTTCGGAGAGGGTACCCTAGTGCGTTTCGTGTTGGTTGGATGTTTTTGTGCATCCTGGGTGAGGGTACCCTTGGATGTTCTGTCTATTTTGGCCGGCGGAGGGTCCCATGGTCTTGAAGGATGTTCTTGTGGCCTAGGTCCGACTGTACGGAATGAAGCGGGAGAAGAACCGACAGCGTTCCCGTCCGTTTAGAACAGTGGGGCTCGTTACAGGCGCCGCCGCAGACGTTGTCCATTAGTAGAACAAAAGTCGCCTGTCCAACAGCGGCCGCTGTCGGCTTTGGACAGCTGCTGGGCATCGTATTCGTTGTTTCCGTTCCCATTTTTGGAGTGCCAAGTGTTGTGATTCGAAACAAACTGTCATCTGCCCAACAGCGGCCGTTGTCCGAGGACATTGGCTTCCGCGGAGAAAGCGAAGTTCTCGGCGCGGGCATCGGCGAGCTCGCGCCAGCTTCGCACGCCAGCTTCGTACAAGGCACTGGCGATCTTGGCGCTCCAGGCCGGATCGCGACTGTCGGCGCCCTCGAGTCTGCCGAGGTCTTCGGCCAACGACGTCTTCGCAGCCTGGTCAGCCATATCTACGCAAGCAGAACCGCACGCGCATGAGCAGCCTTCGCAGAGCGCGATTCAACCCGTTCCGCCAGCCCCGAACGCAACTTAGCGAAGAGCGCCGCGCGCGCCGAAACACGACAGGCTGGGCATGTTGACCGCGCATGGGCAAGCGGCGTGCGGGGGGGCCGCCCACTGACAAAGAAGGCGCCTGACCCAGCACAGGTCGCGGCAGGCAGGCCACGCGTGGGCCGCCAGGGCGCCCGGAGGCCCCGCGCGGGCCGCCGAGCAGAGGTCCGCTGGCGATGGAGAGCCGCAAGTGGGACACAGGCGCAGGGACTGACCCCGCGTGGGTCGACTACACGAAAGCTACACGTGGGCGCAGGAGCCGAGGCCCGACGAAGCGCACGGCCGCGCGGGCCACGCATGGGCCGTCCGAGCACCCAGAGGCCGCGCACAGGCATTGACTGGCCACGCATGAAGCGCCTCGCTTAGACCACTCCCCGGCCAGCTTGGAATGCCACGCCACACAGGTGTTGCTAGCCACTCCTGGGCCGCCGAGCTTGGACCACACCTGGGTCAGCTGGAAATGGCAAGCCACACATGGTCTGCACTAGCTGCACTGGCTTCACAAAGCGAAGCCCCGCGGCCACGCGGGGGCCGCGAGCACACAGCGGGCCTCGCAGTGGCACGCACGCCAGAGAGGCAGCACCAGGCGCCTACCGCCGCGCGTACCGTCGGCCACACGAGGCCAGCCCCAAGACGCGCACACACGGCTCGACGGACCGATGGCAGTGGCAGTGGTGCGCCAGCCCCGCTTGCGTCGAGTAACAGAAAATTGTGGGGAGTCTCGTCCTCTTCTCCTTCTCCTTCTCATCCTCCTCTTCCTCCACCTCCTGGCCACAGAGCCTGCGGCAGCACATAGGCGGACAGCGGACAGGGGAGAGCGGGAGGCCCGAAGCGGCAGACGCACGGGCAGAGCAGCACCAGCACCCCACCCGCACGGCTGGGTACCCCCCCCCACGCCCCGAGGGCAGGCCGAGGGTGGGAGACCGGGGCAGACGCAGGAGCAGCCTACCCTTGGCTAGTTGAGATCCAGCATTCGTGTGCGTGCACTTTCTTGCCCCGCGTGCTCTGCGTTCGCTGATCATGAACAGTGTGTAAGTCTCTGTGCCACTCTAGCATGTGCCCATGCGAGTGCCTGACCGTTCTGGCCAGCTTGCTCTTCGATAGCTGTGCCCTATCACCTGCATGCTTTAGACACCGCGCGCGCAAACAGTTTTCCTCGTCTTTGCCGCCTTACAACATCGCCATTTTCAGTTGGCTAAGAGGAGGAGGAGGAGGAGGAGGAGGAGGAGGAGGAGGAGGAGGAGGAGGAGGAGGAGGAGGAGGAAGAGGAAGGAGGAGGAGGAGGAGGAGGAGAAGGAGGAGGAGGGAGGAGGAGCAGGAGGAGGAGGAGGAGGAGGAGGTGGAGGAGGAGGAGGAGGAGGGGAGGAGGAGGAGTTGGAGGAGGAGGAGGAGGAAGCGGAGGAGGAGGAGGAGGAGGAGTTCGAGGAGGAGGAGGAGGAGGAGGAGGAGAGGAGGAGGGGGAGGAGGAGGAGGAAGAGGAGGAGGAGGCGGAGGAGGAGGAGGAGGAGGAGGAGCAAGAGGGGCGATGATAATGATATTGAGGAGGAGGGGGTGGAGGGTAGAGGAGGGAGAAGGAGCAGGAGTTGGAGGAGGAGGAGGAGGAGGAGGAGGGAGGAGGGAGCAAGAGGGGCGATGATAATGATATTGAGGAGGAGGGGGAGGAGGGTAGATGAGGAGAGAGGAGCAGGAGTTGGAGGAGGGAGGAGGATGAGGAGGAGGGAGGAGGAGGACGAGGGACGATGCAGGAGGAGCGGAGGAGTGACGAGGAACAGGAAGAGAAGAGGGAGGATAAGGAGGATGACGGGCAGGGATGGGGATCGCCGCCCCGCGAGGTGCAGGTCGTCCCCGAGCGCTGGTGGGGCGGATGGGGGATGCGAGCTCCAAGTGCTGCGGCAACTTCAAGGAGGCGCATGCTGGGTCAACTGCTCCAGGGGAAGGGCAGGGCTCGTTTTGATCCCTCCGATGCGATTCGATCCAATGTCGATGGCTTCCGATTTGGACGTCATTCGATTTGGGATTCTGATTTGGCCTCCGATTTCTCCATGGAGGCCTACAAGGCCAGCCGATTTCCGCCGATTCGACCTTTCCCGACTCGGCTGCCGATGTCGGCCGATTCGATTCATTTCGATCGCCGATCCGGCTTATCGATTCAATTATGGGCTCTCCTGGATGGGAGTAACACCAACATGATGTTGGGAGAGAAACGCGGGAACCCCTCCGTTCAGTCAATCGACCACGTAACCCACATTGTAGCATCACTCTCATTCGAAGTGTTTCCCTCGGATCTTACACTAGCCGTCATCTCGAAAGCATATTCGTACATTGGCATCGATATGGCAATGAGGGTCGTGACCCGAGCGTCTTTTGCCCTCTTTGGGCCTCCTAGGAGCTTCTCGTTTCCAGTGCTGGATCCGCCTCAACATTGTCGTCATATTGCAACCCACGAGAGGCCCAGTGATCGGTCCTGAGGAGGGGGGGGATCCGGCGGGAGTTCGATGTCAGAGTTTTCGGCGTGCTTCGGTGCCTTGTGGGGCGCCCTTGCATGTACGGCGGGGTTCCCCTTGAAATAATGGCCAGGGCGCACTCTTGGAGAGGGCCAGAGTCCGATGTTGATGTTCCCCTCCGAATCCGAACAGGAATTCCGTGCGAGGCTGCGAACATGTTGGTTGATGCAGTTTCTGGCTGTATAAAGACAGCTCGGGATATCGAGCAAATCGAACGGGAGTGAACACAGAAGCAAAGCTGGTCTGTCAGTCCCCGTCAGAATTTTGGCAGTCCTGGCCTTCCAGTGCATCCTGTACGCGTCTGAACACCGACGGACAGTGAGCCCTTAGACGTTCAGTAGCAGTGTTACGGTCAAGAACGTTTGCTTGGCGTGTCGCGACACCAGTTCTGACCCGTCACGCTTCGGGTTGACATGCTGAGTACATCCTAGCCTCCAACCTCAGAATCTTAGGTTGCATCGTCTGAGGACCTCGTATGTCTCCAAAATCGGGTGTCTCTTCTTGTGACCGACGCGGGCTCGATGCGGACTCCACGTGGATGTGGCGTGGATTCGACGCGGCTTCGATATGGTTTCGACAAGGATTCGACACGGATGGGGCCGTAGGCGACCCGAGGAGGAGGGGGAGGAGGGGGAGCAGGAGGAGGAGGAGGAGGAGGAGGAGGAGCAGGAAGCTCTGGAGATCGCGAGCCTCACGCTGCCCCGAGGGCGAGGTTTCCCCAGCCTCTGCTCCAAAGAAACAGATCGGCACGTTGTCCGTTTCCAGTTCCCAGAGCGTGTCGCAGGGGCCGCCGCCGCGACACGCTCAGGAAATGTTCCTCGCCGTGCGCGTAAATTCCTGTAGCAAATCAGGGGAGCTTTTTGTCTACCGTCTTGATCCCGTCTCTAGCGTAGATTGGCGTCGAGTAGCGTCTGGTAATCAATGACACAGCGCCGATTTAGCGTCGACTAGCGTCGGCTAGCCTCGATTAGCGTCGATTTAGCGTCGACTACCTTCGATTAGCGTCGACTGCCGTCGATCATCGTCGGCCAACAAGATGGTATGGGAGGCCCCCGTGACTTGCCACCGAACATGATGCACAGTGCTCTTCCGGTCGAAAGCTCCATGCCCTGCCGTGCAGGGACATCCGTTTGTTTCTCTTCCAGGCGGACATTGCCACGTAAACCCTGCAAGCGCGTGCCCTTCGCCAGCGTGCACGCTTGCGGTTCTAACGCCTGTTCGCTCCGCGCTTGCCCTTGCCCGCTGCCTCGCAGCGCGTCTGTTTTCCCTCCGGAGGGACCATGCAAGTGTGTGTGTGTGTCCTCCGGTGGCGTGCACGCGTGTACGGTTATGATGTTCCAACCTACTCTTAGCCTTGATCATCAGAGAGAATTCCGAGCGCCAGAAAAAAAAAGTACCGAAACTCGGGGGTGTTCACGTGTCGGGCCCCGGGAGACATTCGCCCGACACTGCTTCGACACTCTTTCGACACTTCCCCAGGTGCTCGACATCCTTTCTGGAGCAACATAGGTGTACGATCAAGAACCTTTGGATAACGTGTCGCTCCGCCGGTGGAGGAGGACGAGGAGGAGGAGGAGGAGGAGGAGGAGGAGGAGGGAGGAGGATGGAGGAGGAGGAGGAGGGAGGAGGAGGAGGAGGAGGAGGAGGAGGAAGAGCAGGACGTATTTCGGCGCGACGCGCTATCCGCTCCCGCGGCTGCCCCGCGTCGGCGCCCCGAGCGGCTCCCCGCCTCCCGCCCCGCGGAGCGGAGCGCCGGGCTGTCCGCTCGCGGGGCAGCGGCGCGTGTCGCCGGGGCCGCCGCCTATCCCAGGAGATGGACAGACCCCCCTTTAGCACAACGTGGTTTGGTGAAAACGACCTGAGGCCCAAACCTGGCGGGCGCGAGCCTGGAAAGTAACGACCACGGCGCCCTCTCGAGGACCGAAAGCGGACAATTCACGAATCGACGTGTCACTGTTGGGGTTTCTGTCCACCCCCGATATCCGCGCCGCGCTCGCCATGCCCCGCTGCTCTGGGGCTGGGAAAAGGGGTGTGGAGTAGAAGGGTGTGGTGCCAGTGCCGGATCTGGCGAGGTGATCTATCGTCGATCGCATCGCCATGTCCACGTCTGGCACCACACCCCTTTCTGCCACACCCCTCTCCGACCTCCAGAGCTGCCGCTGCGCGGGCGCGCGCGCGCGCTCTCCGAGCTGGGGCTGCGTCCACAGCTCCTTTGCCCTTGTTGGCATCGCTCTCGGGTGTGTGCATCTTGTTTGCTCCGCGAGGACCACCGAGGAGCACGCACGGGGTCTGCTCGCGAGCAACAAAAAAACACGCGCGAGAAAGCGCCAGAACGCACGGGGAATGGACGTCCGAGCGATGGCGAATGCCTGGGAAGCCAACAAACTGGCTGGACCTCGGGGGGCGCTGGATATACGGCAGGCCACTGCTGAGAAGCGCCCCCCTGCCCTCGCAGAAGGCCCCCCAGACTGTGCTCTGCTGGCCGGCACAACAGGCAGCAGGTGTCCCCAGTATGTAGTGATTCTCTGGGATGGCCGCCCGTTGCTCACGTCGCGCGCGCTTCAGCCGATGCCGCTCCTCGGTCCTGCCGCGGCGTGGGCTCCCCCACCCCACGATCCCCCCCCTGCACTTAGCAGCATCTCGCCATCCGCGAGTGTATTCTCGTGGTGGCCCCAGCCGTCCTTGCATCTGGCACTTTGCGTCGAGTCTGCATCCACCGAGTGCTACGGGCCCGCTGTAACTGCGATGGGCGCGCAGCATGGATCGCGCGTCGATTCAGCGAAGATTCTTGGACAGGGGAGCAGTTGAAGGGGCACAGAACGTCCACGTGAGGTCAGTCATGTGGTTAGCGATTGCTTATACTGGTTCGGGATGTGCACCTCGGGCCTTGTCGCAGACTGAGTCCTTCTGTTTCTTCCTTCCAGTCCCTGGCTCATCCAACGAACGGTGGTGCCGTTTCTCTGCGACTTCCGTGCCCAGGCGGCGCGGGATGTTTCCATTCCGACGCTACCCTTCAGCTGCTTGGTACCGTCCGCCTCCAGGCCCCGTCCTCTCTTCTGTTATCTATCGCAGGCGATTTTTCTCCCCCAATCCCCGAGTCTTGCCCGAAACGTTTGGCCGTTCAGCAGAAGGGGGAAACCCTGGGATACACCCCTGTGGGGGCTATCCAGACGCACCCCCATCAAGGATGTACGCCCCCCCCATCGTATATCCCAGGGCTGGGCCCCAGATTCCTGGCCCGTGCGAAAACCTCCCAAAGCCTGGGATGGGGGTCGACCTCTCCCCTGCGAATCTGTGCCTTGGCATCGCCAGCGCGTGCTTCAGCTGTGTGCGCGTCGGCCCCCACGGGCGACGCGCTCGCTCGGAGGTCTCCTGTGACGAGTTCCTCGGCGGGCGCGCTCCTCCTCCTCCTCCTCCTCCTCCTCCTCCTCCTCCTCCTCCTCCTCCTTCTCTTTTCTCCTCCTCCTCCTTCTCCTCCTCCTCCTCCTCCTCCTCGCTCTCCTCCTCCTCCTCCTTCCTCCTCCTCCTCCTTCTTCTTCTCCCGTGGGAGGGGCAGGCCCTCCCCTGGGCAACCAGGTCGAAGAACGCCTGCGGCGAGCCACCGCCGCCCCCCTGCTTTTTTCGGGAAACGCCCGCGTGGTCACGCGTTGGGGCCGAAGTCTCGTCGAGCTGTTGGACTGCGTGCTCCCTCGGCCGGTGTGGCAGTCCTTGGGGGGACGCTCGTGGGAGGAAGACAGAGGAGGAGGACAGGGAGGAGAAGAGGGAGAAGGAAAAGAGGGCCTGCTGGGGGCCTCTCTGGGCTTCTTGGGGCCTCTTGCAGACCTCTTGGAAGCCTATTCGCGGCCTCTTGATGTCTCATGGGGGCCTCGGTGGGCCTCCACAGGGCCTCTTGGCCTTCGGAGGCCATCTTTGGACCCCTTCTGGGCCCTCGTGTTGCCCTCTCTGGACGCGTTTGGGCCGTTTTGAAGGTGTGGGGGGCCGTCTTGGGGCCCTCTTGGATTCGTCTTGGGGGCCTCTGCGGCCGCCTCAGGGCCCTCTTGGGCCGTCTTGATGGCCAATTGAGAGCCTCTCGGACCATCTTTGGCAGCTGATGGGGCCGCCTTGCAGCGCCGGGAGCACGAAATGGCAAGAACACCAAACTGATTGAAACATTAAAGGAACATAGACTTTTGACATCTTGAAAATCCTCTTAGAGCCCTTTGTGGGCGTCTTCGGGGCCTCTCGGGCCGTTGGGAGGACTTTTTGGGCCATCTTGGAGTCACTTCGGGAGAACTTGGAGGCCTCTTGAACCCTCTTGAGCCGTCTTTGAAACCATCTTGGACCATCCTGGACAAATTTGAAGGGCACCTCGGCAGTCATGGAGGCCATCTTCGAGCCATCATGAGCGGGAAGACCGCTGATAGGTTTCGTTTCTGATGCCTTCCATGTGGCTGGCTCCATGGACCTAAGGCAGTGAATTCGAACAGAACCACAACAGTAAACAAATTGACACGTCTCCCCCCTTGGCGGGCAAGCGGTCTTCGGTCCATCTACGTTGCTTGGGTTGTAGGCCAGAGGTATCCTGGATGCCTCCGAGGACCTCTTCGGAGGCCTTTCGAGGCGGTTTTGGAGTGCCTTCGGGGCAGGGTTCTCTTGGGGCCTGATTTCGACCTCTTGGGGGCCTCCTGGGGCTTCTGAGGGGCCTCTTGAGGGAAGTGGGGGGGGAAGACAAAGATCTAGAACAGATTCCCCATATTTGTTTTATTTGTGTGTATTTATTTGTGTGTCCCTGGGCCCCTTGCATGTATGCTCCATGTATCGCTCCCCCTGGGGGAGGGCCAGGCCCTCTCCAGAACCCCACGAGCCGCGAGCCCACGTGCGGCGCGCAGCTGCAAAGCGCCTCGGGGGTGCTCACGTGCGTGCGGCACGGCGTGCGCCTCCGGCGCGAGCGTGCAGGAATAGGCTACTGATCTTTTCGGGTCGGGCGAAAGGGGGGGATTGGGAAAGGGGGGTTACGAAATTTGCTGCATGCAGCTGGTTTCGGCCTCACCGAGGGGCCCATTCCTCGATACATAGCTCCATCCGGCGCCGGGAGGCGCCGGGAAAATCAGCTACGTGAGCTGATTCTCAAACCCCCCCTTTGCTATCCCCCCCTTTCGCCCGACCCGATCTTTGTGCATACCAGATCAACGACGGTTGGCCTTTTATCGGACTTCGGACCTTTCCCTTAAGTCGGGCCTGTCCCTCTACAGGGGGAACATTCAAAAAGAGTCAACAAAAATACGCTGGGGACCTTTTTTTTTGTTTGACTATTTTGGAGTATTGTTGGAGCATGTTTGGGGTATTGTCAATCTCTCGTCCAACATCCTCCTGTAGGGGAACAAACCCGACTTAGCCTTTCCCCGCGCCGGCATTCCATCATGTATTAGGCTTTACCGATCGGGGTCACGCTTCTTCCATGTCCCGATGCTCGCGAGCTATTCCGCGCAGCGCTCGGCAGGAGGGCGAGATTGGCGATGCACCGAGGCCAGAGGACCCCTGGGGGAGAGGATGCGGACGTTGGGCAAGCCTGGCAGGGGCGACCCACACCCCGTCCTCCCTCGCCTCTTCTTCGTCCCCTTCCCGTCCATCACCCTTCACCTTGTCCTCATCGACCTCATCCCCGTCACACTCCTCCTTTGTCACTCGTCTCCTTTGTTTGCCTTCTCCTTCCCCTCATCATCCCCCTCTTCTGCCTCCCCCCTTTACTGTATCCTTACCCTCCTCCTTTTCCTCCTCCCCACCTCCCTCCTCCCCAACCCCCTCCACCCCACGCCTGCGCTCCCGCGCGTGCGGGCAGGGGGATGGGGAGGAGGACCAGGAGGGAGAATAAAAGAGAAGAGAAGAGAAGAAAAGAGAAGGGAGAAGAAGGGAGGAGACGGACGGTTCACTGAGGAGGCGGAGGAGGAGAAGGGGGGGAGGAGAAGGAGGAGGACTACTTAGGCAAGACGACATGTTTTCATCTTGAGCCGCCAGCGGCGACAAGCGGTTGAAGTGAGAGCATCGGCGCACCAGACGCACAACGTCTGGGCAAGATGTTTGCAACAGCCGGGGGTGAGGAGAGGTTGGGTGCGAGTCGCGTGCGGGATGGTTGATGGGGCCCTTGAAACAGCGCGTGACCTGTCTGTGATTGTTCGTAACCACACCGCCTTCCCCGTATAATCTAGACAGCGGCGGGCTTGGATGTTGTGGATCCGATTTCCGTCCGCCACCTGATTTACCATCATGAGTTTTGAACCGGGTATACATCGGATCCGTGTGAACAGAAACAGGACGGAAACCATATCCACAATATCCGACATCGGATCCGCGTGGAGGGAAATTGGATCCACCGAAGCACAAATCCAAACCAACATCGGATCCGCGCCCACGCAATTCGATCCACCAATGTTTATGCGATGCGTACTGGCGCAAGAGCTGAAGGCATGGTGTGCGGGCCCAAGAAGAGAATTATCTGGGCGAAGGACCCAAGCATATGCAGTTGTGAATACCGTGTTGTGGCGCCGCGTTCGGTGGAGCTCCCTATGGGGCGGGGCCACGAACCGTGTGAGGGGTGCGCCAGAGTGTTGCGGCGCCGCCATGTGGACCCTTCCACTGGGGCCTTCGGTGGAGCTCCCAATGGGGCGGGGCCACGAACCGTGAGAGGGGTGCTCCAGAACGGGGCGGCGCCGCTATGTGGATCCTGCTACTTGGGCCTTCGGTGGAGCTCCCCATGGGGCCACGAACCGCGTGAGGGGTGCGCCAAAATAGAGCGGCGCCGCCATGTGGACCTTGCCACTGGGGCCTTCGGTGCAGCTCCCTACGAGGCCACGAACGGTGTGAGAGGTTTGCCAGAATGGGGCGGCGCCGCTATGTGGATCCTGCTACTTGGGCCTTCGGCGGAACTCCCTATGGGGCCATGATTCGTGTGAGAGGTGCGCCAGAATGTGGCGGCGCCGCCATGTGGACCCTTCCACTGGGGCCTTCGGTGGAGCTCCCTACGGGGCCACGAACCGTGTGAGGCGTGCGCGAGAATGGGGCTGCACCGCCCTGTGGACCTTGCCGCGGGTGAAATCCGGTGGAGCTCCCCACCGGGCCACGAAGCGTTCTACTAGGTGCGCCGGAACACAGACATGCGGAGGACAGAGGCAGTGATGGGAGGAGGGAGGAGGCGGGAAGATGGAGGCGGGAAGAGAACGAGTGGCGCTGTCTTTCAAAGCGAGGACCCAACACCAGGGATGCAAGAGGGAATAGAGAAGAGAAGAGAAGAGACGAGAAGAGAAGAGAAGAGATGAGACGATAAGAGAAGAGAAGAGAAGGCAAGAGACGAAGCAAGAAGAGAAGTGAAGAGACGATAAAAGAAGATAAGGCAAACTGAGGGATGAGGAGGAGGAGGAGGTGGAGGAGAAGGACGACGACGAGAAGGAGGATGCCATTCACCCTCCCTTCACCTTCCCCTCCTGCTCACCCACCCCAGTCCTCTGCTCCCCCCTATCATAGAAGAAAAGGCTTCCCTCTACGCCCCCCGTGCTTCCAGCCCTGCCCCCTCCGGTGCTCCCGCCCTCTCCCCTCGCGGGGTGGAGCAGCAGCGAGGGAGCTGACAGCAAGTACGGTCGGACCCAGGCTGTGAGATCGATGCCGGTTCGGGGGAGTGTTCCCGGATGATCGTCGTGCTCGTTGGACGTTCTTGCGGTTCATGTGCATCCTGGGGGTGAGGAGTGGGCTCGAACGCTCCTCGGTCTGGCTGGCGGAGGGTCTCGTGTTCTTGAGGCATGCCCTTCTGTCCTAGCAGGTCTGGCCGTGACGTCAATGCACGGGCGTACCCCTCGGACCTGCTAGGAAGGACCAGGGCGGCCCACAGGGGGGGGGGAGAAGGAGGAGGAGGAGGAGGAGAAGGAGGAGGAGAAGGCAGGAGAAGGAGGAGGAGGGGGGGCGGCGGAGGAGAGGGAGGAGGGAGGGGAGGAGAAGGCAGGAGAGGAGGAGGAGGGGGCGGGCGGAGGAGGAGGAGGAGGATGAGGAGGAGGAGAGGAGGAGGAGAAGGCAGGAGGAGGAGGGAGGAGGGGGGAGGGGGAGGAGGAGGGGGGGGGGGGGGGGGGGCGGGCACCCGCCGAAGGGGGGGCGTCAAGACCAGCCGGGAGCTCCCTGGCAGTGGCCTCGCCCTCGGCGGGCCAGCGGAGGGTGGCGGCCCCTTCGGTCGGCGGCTAAGCTGGCGGGAGAGCGGGCGCCGAACGGGGCTCGGCTCCGCTCGCGGAGTCGCGGTGGCCGGCGAAGGCAAAAGTTGCCCTCCTCCACCTCCTCGCCCCTCCTCAAGCAGTGGCGAAACGTCCTGGCGTGCCTATCGTCTTACCATACAGTGTTCTAAGAACCTTGTGTGGTTCCCACGAGATGTTCTCAGAACATTTCTTGCGGAGTCTGTTCTGTTGTGTCACATCGGGCTCATGCTCTAAGAACATTGTGGTGCTTGTTCTTGGAACATGTCTGGGTTCCAAGAACATGTCGTGGTAGGGCTACAGGAATGCCGGGACGGTCGGTCCCTGCTCAACCTTCTGAGAGCTGTCAACCCGTGTGCTGTCAACCCGCGTTCGGCTTCGGGAGGTTCGGGAGCGATCCGGGCGGAGTGCTCGACCCGTCGAGCTCGGTCGGCCCGCGGGGGCCCGGGGAGGCAGCCCTGGGGCCCCTTTGGCGGGTCCGAGGCGCCCGGCGGCTCCCTTCCTGCTTCTCCAGAGGTCCTTCAGCTCCACTTGGGGGTGGCGTCAACGGGGGGGGCGAAAGTTGAGCGCGTTTGCTGGCTCAGCGGCGGTTTGGTTGTCCCCCCCGCTTCCGCCACCCCCAAGTGGAGCTGCATGAAGAGGCTTGAGCGCCTCTCGGCGGCGGGCGAGGCGCGGGAGTGGGGAGGAGGAGGCCTTCTCAGAGGGCGGCGGGGCCTCTCAGAAGCCCTGGCGCCCTCTGGGGCGTCCTCGGCGCCTCCGGGGGAGCGCGGGCGCAGAGAGCGCTTCTCTCGGCAGGCCGGGGGACTGCTCCCCGCCTACCGAGAGAAGGCCTGCGCCCTCTCGCCTGCCTCCCCCTCGGCTTCACGCAAGAGTGACCCCTCGCCGGAGTGGCCTCTGGTGCGGGCCCACCGGGGGCCCCCGATGGCCGAGCGCGATGCGGTGGTCGCGTCTCGCGCGCTCGCGTCTGGCCCCCCCCCCGTGGCCCCCCCGAGAGCCGCGCACCAGAGGTCACTCCGGAGGGGAAAAAGCACACAGGCACAATGAATGGTCGATTCCCCAGGAAAATCGGGGAAGATGTGGGAAGTGGGGGGGAAGACAAACGCCCAGAACATATATATATATATATATATATATGGGAGCATATGGGGGAACCCGGTGACTTGTGTCTCTTTATCTGTGTGCCCTTGGGCCCCTTGAGCCACTCTTGCCCAGGGCCGCTCTGGCGTGCAGCCGATTCCCCCCCCCCATCGCCGCCGGGCCCTGCCGCGCGCGGGCCGCACGCTTCGACGCGGGCGGGGCTCGCAGGTCTCGAGCGCGGGGGGCACGAGGGGGGGAAGGGGCCCCCCGAGAGGCCCCGGGCCCGGCCCACGTCGGCGCGCCTCTCCTGGAGCGTCGGCCACGGCGCTGCGGTTCGATCTCCCTCGGCCAACGCTTCGACCCGCCCCCCCCCTGCCCTGTTTTTTTTGTTTCGGGGGTCGTTCCCCTCCGGCTCCACGACCCCCAGCTTCCAGGGACGCCACGCGGGAGCGTCGCCACCTGTCCTACGTCCTGCTGCATTGTTTGTTGGTTGGCGGTCGTGTGCCATGCTTGTGTTCGCCCCTGTCGTCCGCTGACTGCCATCTCATCAGCGCGCTGGCGAACAGATAATGCGTGGGAGTGCGTGTGCGTGGCACCTTGAACGAGCCTTGTTCTCAGTACATCCTGATCCGTGGTTTGCAACCCATCGGCGCGCCAGGTGCAACAAAGCGTGTCTGTCTGTGCGGGAGGCCAGGAGGCCACGCGGGAACGCTGGCACCTATGCTTAGGTCGGGCCTGCCCCTCTACAGGCGGAATATTCAAAAATAGTGGCAAAATAGCCCGGGGACGATGTTTCAAGTATTTGTTTCATCATTCTTGGATTGTTTCGAGAATATTTCATCGTTCGTCGGAAATCGGCTCGTACGGGGACATGCCCGACCCAAACCTATGCTGACTCATCAGGGGTCGTGCGCCCAGGTCTTGCCCTCCTCGCGCGCGCGCGCCCCAAAATTGAATCCTCCTACGTGGGGAGCCTCGTTGGCGCAGCTTGCTCCACGATCGACACCCAGACGTGAGGAGGGCCCACGCCCCAGAACCGCGAGGATCGAGGATCGAGCTCCGGATGCATACGCTCGGGATGCGGCTCCTGGGAGGTCAGATTTTCTGAGTCTGCCCTGGTCCGAAATCCGATTTAACTTTTCGGAAACTCGAGCGTATACATTACCAGCTGCTTTTTTTCCTCTCCCAATCCCACGACTTTTTGAAGGTCAGGGACGACGTCGGGGTGGTGTGGTGTATACTTCTCCACCGCTTTCCAAGGGAAACAGCGAAACATGTATACACCAGGATCCCGTATACACCAGGATCCGCGTTCCTGTGCGAATTTCAGCGCAGGGTCGGAAAAAGCGTCGGTGTATAGAGCTCGTTACCCTAAACCTGGTTCAATACCGCATACTCCGGCGAAGTTCGCTCAATCATGCAAAATCTCGCTCAATCCGCGGCCTGATTTGGCGTAGCAGCCCCCAAGTGAGGCTGGATTCTCCCTTATCCTTCCAACGAAGACCTCCCAGTAGTTGCCTCCCCCAAAAAATGCCGGTTGGGGTTCCAGGGCGACCCGATGGGGGCCCCTGGGCCCCCGACACCGGGCAAAGGCTCCTGCCGGGCTTTGTTCTCTTTCGCTCGGTGCCCAGGTTCAGGGAGGGCCTGGAGAGTGCGAGCTGCGAGGGTCGAGGCTCGATGCCCCTCGCCTTCCTTCCTCGCGCGACCCCCCTCCTCCTCCGAGGACGGAAGATCGGCCCTCCGAGGCGGGGCAGAGGCTTCAGCCGCGGTCTTGCTCACTCTCGCGAGGCCCAGGTGTGAGGATCTCCAGGAGGAGGAGGAGGAGGAGGAGGAGGAGGAGGAGGAGGAGGTGGAGGAGGAGGAGGGAGGAGGAGGGAGGAGGGTCGATGATCGATGCCCCTTCTCTCCCCTCGCGTGTGCTCCTGCCCCCTCCTCCGGTCTCGGGTCGTTCCTCTGAGACGGGGCACGGACCTGCGCTGCGTTCTTGCTCCTGAAGGAGGCGTGAGGAGCCTCCTCCTCCTCCCTCCTCCTCCTCCCTCCTCCTCCTCCTCCTCCTCCTCTCCTCCTCCTCCTCCCTCTCCTTCTCCTCCTCCTCCTCCTCCTCCTCCTCCTCCTCATCCTCCTCCTCCTCCTCCTGAGAGTCCAAAGCCTCGAGGACCGAGGACCGATGTCCGTGTCCTCCGAGGGCAGAGGATCGGCCCTCGGGGGCGGGGCAGACACTTCCAGGGCATCTGTGCTCCTTCCGGCGCCCAGGTGCAGGGAGGGCCCACAGGGCTCAAAGCCTCGAGGACCGAGGATCGATGTCATTCTCTTGCTTTCCTCGCGTGTCCTTCTTCTCCTTCGAGCATGGTGGACCGATCTCGTCCTTGTGTTCCTCCTTCTCGTGGGCACGCTTTTGGCGAAGAAGGTTTTGAATGGCTTGCCTCAGTCAGACCTGTCTGGGGGCGGCAAGCTGGTATACGAACTTCTTGCTGCAGTGGTCCCGGGACCATCAAGTGCTTTGAGACATGTCCCCTCAGCTGCTCCTCGCCTTGAGTCATCTTTCTCCTCCGTTTCCCTTTTCCCTCTCGCGGCGTTTTCCTCCTCCTCCTCCTCCTTCTCCGTCTGGATCGATCGTCCAGGGGGATCGAGGTCCTGCATCCTTCGTGGATCGAGAGTCGCTGCCCTTCTTCTTTTTCCTTCGCGGCGGGCCAGGATCCATACAAGGACCCCGCGCCGGGCAAGGTGCTGCCGCCCAAGCGGAGGGGACGGGCCATCGGCGTAGACGTCGTCGGCGGCGGCGACATCGTCGCCGTGGTCGGCATCGTCGTCGTTGGCGTCGGCGTGCACGTCGCCAGCTTCGGTGTCTGCGTCGTCGTCGCCAGCGTCGGCGTTGGCGTCGTTGGCGCCTTCGTTGGCGATGTCATCAGCTTCGTCGTCTTCTCGTCTCCGTTGGCGTTGTCGTCACTGTCGTCTTTATCGGCATCGCCGTCGTCGTCGTCGTTGTCGTCGTCGGTGTTGTCGTCAGCGTCGTCGTCGTCGTGGGCATCGCCGTTGTCGTCGTTGGCGCTGTCGTCGTCGTCGTCGTCGTCGTCGTTGTCGTCGTCGTCGTCGTCGTCGTAGGCATCGGCGTTGTCGTTGTCGTAGTCGTCGTCGTCGTCGTCGTCGTCGTCGTCGTCGTCGTCGTCGTCGTCGTCGTCGTCGTCGTGGTCGTCGTCTTAAGCATCGGCGTTGTCGTTGCCGTCGTCGTCGTCGCCGTCGTCATCGCCGTCGTCGTCGACGTCGTCGATTGCAGGAGGAGGAGGAGGAGGAGGAGGAGGAGGAGGAGGAGGAGGAGGAGGAGGATGAGGAGGAGGAGGAGAATGAGGAAGTGGAGGAGGTGGGGGAGGAGGAGGAGGAGGTGGAGGAGGTGGAGGAGGTGGAGGAGGAGGAGGTGGAGGTGGAGGAGGGGCTGCTTCTCACGCGCCGGGCTCCCGTGGCCCGCACTCCCACAGGTTGGGTGCCGGAGCCGCGGAGAGGGAGGAGCAGTAGAGTCCAGCGGCTGGCGAGGTCACGGTGACCCGGGCCCACCCGCGGCGTCCTCGACCTCCCTCCCTCCGTGGCAGGGGCTGGGCAGGTCTGCGGGCGACAGGAAGGACGACTCAGGTGACCTCCGCCATGCTTCCTGCCGCCACCGCCGCCGCCCCCTCCTCATTATCCTGCCTCCCCCCCCGCCTTTCTTTGCCTTCTCCGCTGTCTTTTGCGCATCCTCATCCTTTCTCGTCGCCGTCCTTCTCCGTCTCGGGCCAGTCGTCTCTTGTCGTGTCCTGTCTGGTCCCGCTCTGTCGTTTCCTGTCCTGTGCTGTTGGGTCCTTGTTCTGTCGTGTCGTGGTGTGGCTTGTTCTGAGCTGTGCCTCCTGTGCTGTGATGCGCATTGTGTTCTGTACCAGTGTTTCTCCGTGTCTCTCATACGTTGCGTGCCTTCGTGGCCCTGTCTCTCTCCCTCTCTATCTCTATGTATCGCTCTCTGTCTCTCTCTCTCTCTCTCTCTTTGTCTCTATCTCTATATGTCTCTCTCTCCCTCTCCCTCTCTCAACAATAGTTCTGCTTACATGTATATATATAGATATGTGTGTGTGAAGATGTTTATTTCTCTCATTCGCTCTAGCTCTCTCTCTCTCTTTCTCTGTCTGTTTTTTCTCCTTCCCTGTTTAGCCCTCGCTCCATCTCCTATATATAGATACATCTATATATATATATAGATAGAGATTTATTTCTCAATTGCTCACCCCCGCTCATTTCTACATGCGTTTCCCCTGTCATCGTCACGAGGCCGTGCCATGTACCCGCATGCCTTTATTATCCAATGCGCTTGGCAACACACACACACACTCAATGTCCATTGCGACACTATGTGACGAGTGCGTACTCCGACACTCTGCAACGATTGTGTATCTCACCCACCATGCGCCATTCCCGATGACCCTCTCTTCGCCAGACGACTCGTCCGATGGCATGTATGGCGGGAAGGGGTTGGACACGGATGTTGCAACGATGGCAAATGGCATGGTTTTTGTGAGGATGAGTGCAGGCTGCAAGGAAAGTAAGAACGCATCCCGAAGCCACTGCAGCTTCATAGTACCCATGTGTGGAGGAGACGGGGTGATTCAGCACCAGTTGCGATCAGGATCGTTGACCCAGCGTATCGCTCCGCCGGGTCTGGCCCACCACGGTTTGACGCGACACGCCAACCTCGCCCCCGCTCCAAAGCTGCAATGTCCCGAGCCTTTCCGAGCCTCCTGCCCCTCGAAGCGCAGCAACGTGCTACCCGCTGGCAAGGCATAGCGTGTCGCCTGGACCGCCGCCTCGACACGCTAAGCAAACGCTCCCGGCCGTAAACTTCTCCCGATCCCGCTGGGAAAGCCTTGGCCCCGCTGTCCTGACTACTCCCCCCCGATCGGTGGGGACAGATGCCGTCCCCGTCGGGTCTCGCTGCATCCGTACCGACCCCCTTTGGGGGTAGGCTGTTGGCGCTAAGGGACGCCAGCATGGGGATAGCCGAAGAACAACAAGTTGCGTAAACCTAACTTATCGGAGACCCACGCGGATCTCTTTGCTCGGCGTTTGACCCCCCCTGACAGCACCTTTGGCGCCGTCCTTGGCGCGGTTCACATGCAACGCAGTGGGGTACAGTGCCAATCCGAGCGAAAAGCCGCGCGGACCTTCAAAGTTTATGCCTGTGTCGTTTGCCATTCTGCTACGGTGGCATAGGTCGCAGTGCTCGGGAACACCCCCGCATCCGTTGTTGTTGTTGTTCCTCCCGTCGAGTGACGTTTTTTGGGGGAGCGTGTATGTGCTCGTTTTTCGCTTAAGCGGCGTAGCTGGTGCTCGTGAATCTTAGTCGTCGTTGGGCGACTATGGGGAGGGCTATAATATGTAATGGCACTGTGGAGAGGGGATCGAAGACACACGCCGTTGAACGACGACCGCGGTGCCCTTGTAGCAGCGACCAGTTGGGGTCAACGGCAGCATGTGTCTCGCCATCTGGAGTCTTGGCCCGCATTTCCAAGGCTCTCCCTCAGCAGGGCAATGAATGTGAAGGAGAAGGAGAAGGAGAGGGAGGGAAGGAACAGTTGGAAGGGGTTCATTTGCTGTCGGGTGCGTCTTGCCAGTTTTTGGAGGTGTCCAGAGGATGATGAGTGGGGAGGAGGAACATGAAGGAGGGTGATCAAAATGAGAGCGAGACGGACGACCATGGATGAAACAAGGAGCAGGGACATATATGAGGGAGGGAGCCAACGTAGGACGCAAAGAGGGTGGGTGGAAGGAGGAGGGGGAGGTGGAGGCCGTGTTACAGAAGAACGAGGATGAGGAGGTTGGGGGGAGGGAAGAGCGGCAAATGGTAGTGGAGGGGTAGGAGGAGGAGGAGGAGGAGGAGGAGGAGGAGCACGACAACGTGTAGGAAGAGGAGGAGGTGGAGGAGGAGGAAAAGGATAAGAGGGAGGAAAAGAAAGAGCAGGGGCAGCTGCAGGAGTATCAGGGTGAGATGTGGAGGGAAGGAGAGAGATAATCATGATGGTGGAGTGGGAGGAGGAGGAGGAGGAGGAGGAGGAGGAGGAGGAGGAGGAGGAGGAGGAGGAGGAGAGGAGGAGGAGGGGAGGAGGAGGAGGAGGAGGAGGAGGAGGAGGAGGACGAGGAGGACGAGGAGGACGAGGGAGAGGGCACTCCTCTCCGAACGGCTGAGGCGCAGGAGAGAAAGAATCATGAGGAGAAGAGCGTGATGCGGCGGTGAGGAGGAAAATGGCGAGGAGGAGGATGAGGAGGAGGAGGAGGAGGAGGAGGAGGAGGAGGAGGAGGAGGGTGATCCTGCTCGTTCGTCCCCCCCACCACACACACACTGGTGGCAGGAAGGTCTCGACCCATCTCTGACGAAAGAGATATTCCCTCGCTGCCAGGCGCACCTGCTTCCGCCCCGCATACAGTGGTGGCGCATGGCAAGAAACCCCCTTTGTCAGGATCCCCTGGGTTTCTTCGGCTTGCGTTCGGCGTGGAAGGTCGCCGCTACCTCGGAGAACTCCAACTGTTAGGACACCCCAGGTTTCTTGGGCGTCGGAGCGTTTCGGGGCGCGCGCCCGAGCCTCCGAGAAACTTCTGGGCAGTCAGGGTTTCTTCGCCCGCTACCCCGTCCGCTCGTCACGCACACCGCGCGCGCTCACGGGGGCGGGTCAGTCGGCCGCGGGAGCCCCGGCTCATTCGGGGCGCATGCCCGATGGAAGCCCAGGAAATCGACGGGCCCAGCATGCGAGTGAAATAGCTGGTTGTCCTCCATCAGTTGTCTGGTGACCCACCGGCTGGTGGGTCACCTGCGTGGCGCGCGCTCCTGAGGGGAAGCGGATGGAGCAGGAGCGCACCGCTCCATGCTGCGGCCCAGAGTGCAAGTGAAACGCTCTGCCCTGTCCTCAGGAGGCGCGGGAGGAGGAGGAGGAGGAGGAGGACGAATACCAGGAGGAGGAGGAGGAGGAGGAGGAGGAGGAGGAGGAGGAGGAGGAGGAGGAGGGAGGGGGAGGAGGAGGAGGAGGAGGAGGAGGAGGAGGAGGAGGAGGAGGAGGAGGAGGACCAGTGTTCGGGGGTAGCCCACGCGCTCGTGGGTCACCTGCTCGGCGCGCGCTCCACGGGGCGAGCGCACGCAGTCGGAATGCACCACCCCACGGTGAGCCCAGCATGCGAAGTGAAACGCATGGTTTTTCCTAACCTGAAGTCGGGCCCGTCCCTCTTCAGGAGGAATGTCCACAAGTAGTCCAACAATACTCCAGATTTCGTAATAAAAGGGAGGGGGTCCCAACCCTCCCAGACGAGAAGTTTTAGACCCCCCCCCTGGGAGAACCCTCCAAAACATCGTCCCCAGACCCCCCCAGGCCCTCCAAGATAGCTTGGAAGAGACCCCCGCCGAAATGAGACCCCCCTCCCTTTATTACGAAATCTGGAGTAGCCTGGGGACTATTTTTTGAGTATTTGTTTGAACAGTTTGGAGTATGTTTTGGATTTGTTTTTTCGTCGAACATCCCCCTGTAGGGGGACACGCCCGACTTAATCTTAACCAGTTTTCGGGTGACCCACGCGCTTGTGGGTCGCCTGCGCGGCGCGCGCTTCACGGTGGAACCGCATGGAGTTAGGAATGCGCGAGTTCATGGTGAGGCCCAGAATGCAAGTGAAACGCATTGTTTTTCTTTTTGCACCAGCTCTCGGGTGACCCACCCGCTGATGGGTCACCTGTGCATCGCGCGCCCTACATGGGCGCATCATGTCTTGCCCCGAGGAGAAGCCTATCTTCTTTCTGTTTGGGCAAGGCCCGAAGCTCGCATTTCCGATGGCGGTGCCCCGTCTCGGTGCCCCCCTACCGATGAGGCCCAAGGCTCAGCCTTTTCTTCAAGCCTTGCTTGTACGAGGACAGTATCGCGAGGAGTCCGCCTCAGCTGGTCACTGAGCCCCCTTGTGCGAGATTTGTCCCTACGTGGGTATTGTATACTTTTGGATGGTACATCCAGAACAGAAGCAGCTGTCCCTGCAACCGAACTGGATCTGGTCCGTGGGCGAGCCGCGAAAATCGAGCACCTCGCGCTGCCAGAACGGCGTGTCCGTTGACACTGAAGACCTGCAACGAGAACGATTCCCAGTTTTTCGGATGCATTCTTGGGAGGTCAAACTCTGATTTTGCTTTGGTCAGAAATCTGGTTTACTATGGCTTGATCCCGCTTGGTCTGGCTTAACCCCGCCTCACGCCACTTAATCCGCGGCCTAATCCAGCGTAGCAGCCTCCAAATGGGGCTGAATCCTCCTTAACCCTTCCGACGAAGACCTCCCAGCAGTTGCCTCCTATCAGTCCCCAGGTCGTCCCCCTCCGCTCCAGTCCTGCTGCTTTCGGCCACTGCATGGCTCTGAGGCTCGTCAGTGGCGGCGACGGTGGCCAGAGTCGGCCGAGCCTCGAGCTCAACCGCGTCTCGGGCGGCCGCGCCCGAGACTGCCACCCCGAGGGTGGCGGCGCCCACGTGGACCGCCTCGGTAGCAAGGCTGCGAAGGAGGCCACGTCGCACGTGCACGCGTTCCTCCGTGGGCCCGTGGGGGCCGCGCCCGAGAGTGCCACCCAGAGGGCGGCGGCGCCCACTTGGCCGCCTCAGCAGCAAGACTACGAAGGGCCACGCCGCACGTGCAAGCATTTTGCTCCGTGTGCCCGTGGGCGTTCTCGCCTCGTCCGGGGGGCGCACGCCCCGCTGTGTGTTGGAGGAGCCTGGCGGGAAGGGGGGGAGGCGGAGGAGGGAGGAGGGGGAGGAAGAAGCGGCCGTTGTGCTTTGTCTGGCCCTGAGGGCTTGTGCTTCGCTGGGTTCGGTCTGCTGCACGTGTCCAGCGCGGCCCGGCTGCACGGGGCTGGCCGCGCGCCGAGTGGGCACGGCAGCACGTCGACGGAAGGAGGGCGCGAGGCAGAGGGAGGGAGGGAGGACGAGGGCGGCGGAAGCGTGGGGAAGGAAGACGTGGAGGGGGGAGGGGGGAGCCGGGAGCAGGACAGGGAATCGGAGGATTTATGTTTTAAAACCTCTGCGGCTACAATCCCCCCTTCGAGGGGACATCTCTCTCAATCTGAGCTCTCGTCGTTGGCGCCAGCTCTGGCAAATACAGACGAGAGGCTGCTATTCCTCCTCCTCCTCCTCCTCCTCCTCCTCCCTCCTCTCCTCCGCCTCCTCCTCCTCTTCCTCCTCCTCCTCCTCCTCCTTCCCTCCTCCTCCCTCCTCCTCCTCCGTCCCCCTCCCCCCGCCTTCCTCCTCCTCTCCTCCTCCTTCCTCCTCCTCTCCCTCCTCCTCCTCCTCCTCCTCCTCCTCCTCCTCCTCCTCGCGGAGGAGCGCCGCAGAGACCTGGCGCAGAGCGGCTGCCTCTGGCCCGGGGGGTCCTTGCGGCAGCGTGGGGGGACGCAGGGGGAGGAAGGGACAGGGGGAGAGCACCCGCGCGAGCGCAAGGTCCGACTCGGGGTGAGCTGGCCCGGAGGCGCTTCACGGTGCACCCGCAGCTGAAGCCGAGGCCCAAGGCTTGTGAAGTGCACAGAACAGTGGACAGGGCCCGCCCTGCAGGCTTGGTCGACAGCACATCGGTGAGCGGTGCCGCAGCCTCCCCTGAGAGGAGTGGGATGGGGGAGGCGGGGAGCGGCGAGGGGAGCCGCGAGGGGCCGCTGGGCGGGGCGGCGGGGTGGCGCGCAGGCAGGGCGAACGGGAAGGCCAAGGACCGCCCCGTCCGACCACTGCGCCCGCGGCGCCGCCCGGCGCGACGCGTGGGCGTCAAGCAGCGGGGGGGGATAGCTGAGGGGTGGGGGCAGCGAGGGCTGCAGAAGAGGGGCCCTTTAGTAGGGGGCCACATGCGAACCCTAGCCCTACCCCCCACCCTCCTCCTCCTCAGAAGTCGTGGGGGTAGGGGTAGGGTTCGCATGTGGCCCCCTATTTGGTGGCCCCCTGAGGGGGCCCTTTAGGCCGCAAGAGGGGGGCGTTTAGGGCCCGAGCAGTGCACCTTTCTCCCCCCCAGTGGTCGCCTCCCTTTATACACAAACACACACACACACTAAGCACACTAAGCACACTAAGCACACACACACACACTAAGCACACACACACACACACTAAGCAACGCCCAAGCCCTCTCACCGGGTGGCCTTCGCAGGCCCTCAGATCCGGGCGTCGCAAAACATCTAGGCCGCTCAAATCGCGTCCGAGCAAACGGTGTCGGTTGATCGTGCCGCATCGCCGATGTATCGGCGATGCGGCTCGATGTGGAGCCCGAGTTCCTCCGCACCGACGTCGCCAGTGCATCGCCAACTTTGAGGACGCATCGGCGATTCATCGGCGATGCGGCGCGATCTTCCGACCCCACCTACCTGGAGTCCATTTAGGAGGCTGCCTGAATTCGCGACAAGGACAGGCTCTAAGGACAAAACCATCCCAAGTCGTTTGACCCGTCGTGCGCGTTCACGTTCTGGCGCCCTCCTGCAGGGAGACATGGATCATGAGCCCAGTCTCTTGGATTGACTCTTGTGTGTGGCTGCATACGTGGTTGGTGTTCAAGCCGCTTCAGAGGGCGCTTTATCATCGTTGTCGCCCTTATCATCACTACCACCATCACCATTTTCAGACTCACCATCGTCACGATCACCAGCATCATCACCACCATCACCACCAGTAACATCATCATCTCTGGGAGGCTCCTCCTCCTTCTCTTCCTCCTCCTCGTCACGGCTGCAGTCTCCTCTCTGGTCAGAACGTCTCCCCTTGGACAGATTTGGGATCCTCGACTCTCGATCCTCGACCCTCGATCCTCGATCATCGACCCTCGATCCTCGATCTTCGATCCTCCATCCTCCATCCTCGATCTTCGATCCTCGATCCGTGGGGTCGATTTCTGGCCTTCGAGTCATACACCATCCGGTCGTCACCGTTTTCAGACTTTTGCATGGCGGTTCTTGGGGTTGCCGTCGCCACGGCTGGGCGCCGCCCGAAAAATGGCAAAGGCGTTCTTCAGGGAGGGTCTGGGGAGTGATTTTTAAAGGGTCTGCGCCGATCCGCGACCCTCCTCCTTCTCCCCCCTCCTCCTCACTCCTTCTCCCCCTCCTTCCCATCCCCCTCGAGCGAACCTCGACCCTGCCTCCGTCTTCGTGCCCTGTTCTTCCCTGACCCGACAGGTTGGGGCTGGCAGACTCGAAGAAGGAAAGGCTCCTGACCCGCCTCGCACACCCTGCCCGCCGCGGCTGATGGGCCTGTGTCCCACCACCACCTCTGTAAGTTGGAGGGGGAGGGGGTCCTCCTCCTCCTCCTCCTCCTCCTCCTCCTCCTCCTCCTCCTCCTCCTCCTCCCTCCTCCTCTCCGCCTCCTCCTCCTCCCTCCCCTCCTCCTCCTCCTCCTCCTCCCTCCTCCTCCTCCTCCTCCTCCTCCTCCTCCCCTCCTCCTCCTCCTCCTCCTCCTCCTCCTCCTCCTGAACGGGGGGCCGGCGTGCCGCGGTGGTCGGGCCCCAGGAGGGCCCCCGCGGCGCCCCCGGGGGGGCCCCGCCTCGCGCTCCTCGGGGCGGGGAATTGCTCGAGGCTGCGCATCTGCCGGGGGGGGGGGATCTCGGCAACTGGGGCATATGATGAAGGATGGCGAGTAACAAATGACCGGGGGTCGTGTTCACGCGGCGGCGCCCAGGATGACGATTAGAAAAAACCGGCCGCGGGCTGGGAAACTATGTGTTTTTAATCGTTCTCCCCCAGTCAGAATATTATGCAGAAATAGCAGAAAGCTATTTTTTGAATCGCTCTCTCCCATGTCTTTTATTAATCGTCATCCCGCATTACATTACCAGTGGCGGGCGGCTTTTCAATCCCAGGACTTTTTGGAGGGTCGGGGACGACGTCGGGGTGGTGCGGTGTATCTGATCTTGTTCCCCGGATGTTCCTGGGGAGACAGCGAAGAATGTATACGCCAAGATCCCGTATACACCAGGATCCGCTTTCTTGTGCGAGATTCAGTGTGAGGCCAGTTCGGTTCCGAAGAGGGAGGGGCTCGAGGGTGCTTTTTTGGGGGGGCGGAGGCGGGGGGGGAGACTCCGATGCTGTTGTTTTTGTTGTCGGCTGTCTTCCTGGGACCTCCCGAGGGGGGGGAGGGGGCCTGCCGTCGCGTCCTCCGTGCGCCTCCGCCTCCTGGCGGGGGCTCGCCCCCGCCCCGGGGAGATCGGGCGACAGTTTTTTGCAACGTCGTTCTACAGCACCGGCCTACGATTGAGTCGGGCCTGTCCCTCTACAGGAGGAACATTCAAAAATAGCCCAAAAAATAGTATGGGGACGATGTTCTTAGTATTATTTGAATCAGTTTGGAGTATTTTTGGAGGGTTCCCCCTGCAGGGGGACATGCCCGACCTAAGCCTACGATCGGAGGTGAGGGGGTGAGATCGAAGTGGAACGGAGAGCCCCCCTACCGGGAAATCGATTTCGGTTTCGTGTTCGTGCGTGCCGTGCGTGCGGACGAGGCGAAGCTGCGTGGGCGGGCGAGAGGAAAGTCTCCTGTGGCTGAGGCGCGGCCAGACCAAATCATTCTCCACCGGGCGGCCGGTGGCGCGCGGTGTCCCGCCGGTGTCCCGGTGGTGTCCTCTGTGGCTGAGGCGCGGCCGGACCAAATGATTCTCCACCGGGCGGCCGGTGGCGCGCGGTGTTCCGCCGGTGTCCCGTCGGTGTCCCGTCGGTGTCCCGATCATGATGTTGATGATGATGATGATGATTATGATGATGATAATGGTGATGATGATGATGATGATGATGATGATGATGGTAATGATGATGAGATTGATGATGGCGATGATGATGATGATGATGATGATGATGATGATGTTGATGATGTTGATGTTGATGATGATGATGATGATGATGATGATGATGATGATGATGATGACGTCGATTGCGAGATCGATTGTGATATCGGTAGTGAGACCGAATGTGGGATCGATTGTGAGATCGATAGTGAGATCGATTGTGAGATTGATAGTCAGATCGATTGTGAGATGATGATGGTGATGATGGTGATGATGATGGTGATGATGATGATGACGTTGATGATGTTGATGAAGATGGTGTCCCGATGACGAGGATGTTGATGATGATGTTGATGATGGTGATGATGATGATGATGATGTTGATGATGATTATGGTGTCCCGATGATGATGATGATGATGATGATGATGATGATGATGACGTTGTTGATGATGATGTCGATGATGATGATGGTGTCCCGATGTGAGACCGAATGTGAGACCGAATGTGAGACCGAATGTGAGATCGATAGCGAGATCGATTGAGCGAGACGTTGGTTCCCCCTCCCCCCTCACCTCCTTATCACCCGCAGGGTGGTCGTATAGGTATAGGCTCGCGTCGTGTCGACGCGGCGGCTGGCCCCGGCGCAGGCGTCCGAGGCGGAAAACGCCATCGGCGGCCCAGGCTTGGGCTGGTATCGGACGGTCTGCGCCGTCCGGATCTCGGCGCCGTCAGGTCTCGGGGAAGTCACAATGTCAGGACTGGAAGAGTCGGGCCGAACAAAAGGGGGGGACAGGGAAAGGGGGGGGTACTAAATCTGCTGCGTGCAGCTGGTTTCGGCCCCGCACACGTGCACGAATCCGCGCTGATTTCGCGGGTAAGCACTGCGCGAGTGATCGTGTCACGCGGCGGGTCTCGCGGATCGAGAGGCCGTGCTCGTGTACATCGTTGGGCGCGTGCGTCCTTTGTGGGCTCCCTGGACAAGGGGCGGACCTTCTCAGAAGGCTCGAAAGCCCCCCGGCATTCCGAGAAGGTCTCTAAGCATTCCCCGAAGACGGACAAGTGTCCAGAAGGCGCGAGGGCTCCTGAGAAGTCTCGCCGCCTTCTGAGAAGGCCTTCTCCTTCTCACTTCCCCTCCTCGCTCGCCGACGAGGATAGCTGATCGTTCAAGGTTGTACGATCCACGCGGCGTCGGAAACCAGCGCCAAGATCTGCACTGCACGAGCCTGCCGTACTCCTGCCCCGAGAGACTCGGGGGCCCGATTTGAAGGCTGGAAGGCAGACCTCCAGCGTCGCTGACCCAAAACTCCACGTGCACTTCAGCTTCGCAATTTGCGCGCCCGTCCAGCCCATCCCTCCTCCCCCCTTCTAATTCTCGCCGTGGGGCAAAACGGGTCCCGAGGGAAACGGGTCCCGAGGTTTCTCGCCGTTTTCGAACTCTCGGGGGCCTCCATGGGCCCCAGGACTGTTAAGCAACGATTTCGGCTGAAGGACTTGTCGTGGGGGAAGGCCCCGGGGCCCGGGACCCGCTTCCCACAGGACCCATTCTCCCCCCTGCGCTGATCTCGCTCATCTCATCTCCCGCTGGGCCAGCACAACTGGATAAGCTTAATTTCCCTCTTTCTTGGCCAGAATGGCATAGTGAAGACGTGGCCTCACTTAGGTCCCCGTCTTTGAATCAGGTAAATAAATATGGGCGGTTTGGTTTGGTACATCTTCAGGAAAAAAGCGACCCGAATTTCATTGGCCCTCTTAACTTTGGTCCCCTCCCAAAGGGTTAGGGGTCCTTGCGTTGCTCATTATTCTTCGGATGCGGGCCACTCCCTATTCCCTCCTGTCTCTCCCCGTCCCTCTCCTCTGTTCTTCCATTTCTCGCCACCCCCTCTCCAGCCCTCCCTTCATCCTCTTACCTTCCGCCTCGCTTCTCCTTTTCTGCCCCCCTGCCTCCTCCCCTTCCTCCTCCCTCCCGCATTCTTCTCCCCCCCTCTCTCCCCTCCCTCCCAGCTTCTCCTTCCCCTCATTCTCTCTTCGGCCCTTTTCGGCCCTCCCTCCCCCCATTCTCCTCGCTTCTCCTTTTTCCCTCCCCTCCCTCCCCTCTCCTTCCTCCCCTCGTGTCTCTCTTCACCATCATCGCTCCCCTCCTTCCTCCCTGCCTCCCCTCTGTTACGGTGGGGGCGATTGGTAAGGACTGTGCCCAGGAGGCTTCAGACTCCGGGGTCCACGGGGGGAGTCCCACCGGCTCCCAGACCCTGGATTCCTTACAGACTGGTTCCCTGTCCAATGCTTTCACTGTGTGGCATAGGCTGCCAGGGACCCTGCGCGGCTGCGCTGCGCTTTCGGGGTTCCTGCCTGCATGGTTTTCTCTGTGAATTTCTGTTCCTTCATGGATGTGTCGGCCAAAAAAAATGCTTTCGCTGTGCTTCCCCCCTGAGCCGGTCCCCTACGTCCCTCCCCCCCCCCCCCTTCCAGGGGAGAAGGCCCCCCCCCCCCCCCCCCCCGTGGGCAGGAGTTCGTCATCGCCATCGATAGGTCGGAGGGCGACAGGCCCCCGACCGCCCCGCCGCGCGCCGGAGACCCTGCGCCTGGGATTGCGTGTCCAGTGAGACCTTCGCTGTGATGCGGCAGGCGGGGGAGGGGGCTGAGGAGGGCTGTGGGCGGGAGGAGCAGGAGGAGGAGAAGGAAGCCAGGGAGGGCCATCGGGGTGAGGACGAGAAGGAGGACGACGAGAACAACAAGGGAAGGACGACGACGACGACGACGACGACGACGACGACGAGGACGACGACGACGACGACGACGACGACGACGACGACGACGACGACGACGACGACGACGACGAGCGCCGCGGGCGCCCCGCGGAAGTGGCGGCCACAACTAGCTCGCGACCAATTGCATGGCCAGCATGCCCACCGCAACCCGTTCGGCGGCCACCACCACAGCGACCGCCACCACCAGCACGACGACCATCACGACCAGCACCACCACCTCGGCCGCGACCACCACCACGACTGCTGCGACGACCACCGTGCCGACCGCCGCCTGCCGACTGCCCCCCGCCCCGGGCCCCCTCCCTCGCTCCCTCCCTGCCCCCTGCCGTGCCGCCCCTGCCGTCGCGCGCGCTTTCCTCCTTCTCCTCCTCCTCCTCCTCCTCCTCCTCCTCTCCTCCTCCTCCTCCCTCCTCCTCCTCCTCATCCTCCTCCTCCTCCTCTCCTCCTCCTCCTCCTCCTCCTCTCCTCCTCCTGCCCCGAGGGTGGGGGCCTGGCACCTGTTCTCATGGTGTCAGCGCCACGCATTCCTCGGGGCACACTGTCAGTGTCAATTGCATGCGGCGGCTGGGGGCAGATAAACCGGCTTTCGTCGTTTTTGCACCAGCCACGTGGCACTTTGCCCGTGGCAGCGGCGCGTTAGCTGCGCTTGTACCAGGCACGGGGAGTGTGCAATTGGTTGGGAAGCAGGGCCATGTGGTCCGTAAGTCCCTTGGGACCTTGTGTCCGTTCACCCTGGGGTACAAACCCAGTTGCACATGCCATCCGATTCGGCAGGGGTGACGGTCGGGAAGTACTGCGCAGTAGCGCGGTGAACCGGCTGTCCCCCTACGCACCACGCCGTCCGGGTTGGGCAGCGAGTCGCTGAGCGACGAGGTATCAGCCTTTCCCCTGACCGTCGGTGCTGGCGCCTGCGGGCCCCTTCCTCCTGTCTGGGAGGCCGAGGGTGACGGTTGAGCCTCGCTCGCCGTTCACTTCTTGGATCTATGACTCTCATGACATTCCTCCTCTTCCTCCTCCTTCTCTTCATCTTACTCGAAATATTATGGTGTTGCTGCTGCACGCGGGCCGGCGTGGTTCGGCACCAGGGGGCCGCCGCCAGCTGCTCTGCCAGGGCCTGGTTGCCCCATGGGTGCCGAGGATTGTCCCCCCCCCCCAAGAAAGAGAAAGAGAGAGAGAGAGAACCCAAAACAACAGTGGTACTCATACTGGGTAAGGGTACAAGTGGCCAGACGAAGACGAAAGGCCGAAGACGACCCGAGTGGAAAGGCACTGAACAAACCATGCCGAACATTGTCCGATCGGATATCAAGTGCCATGAACAAGATACAACACTTGTTGACCTCCTGCATGTAAGAGCACAGTGCGCGGGAGAGGCGTCCACCGCACTGGACAGCACGTATCAGGGGGCACCAGCATACGCGGGAGGAACATTCACATTGAGTGGTGGTGGAGGGGAGGAGCGGAGGGAAGGGAGGAGGGGAATGGGACAGGGGGCCGGAACGGGAGGAGGAGGAGCAGGAGCGAGGGCGGGAAGGGAGGCGGAAGAAGGTTGCAAACGAGGCGGTGGGGAAGGTGGAGAAGGTGGAGGGTGTGGAGGTGGGATCACGAGATGGAGGAGCGAGATTATTTGGAGGAGGAAGACGAGGAGAAGGAGGGGTACGAGGAGAGGACGAGGATGATTTGGAGAAGGAAGACGATTAGGATGATAGTGATGATGACGATGGTGTTGATAATGATGATGGTGCACTTGATGGTGATGGTGATGGTGATGGTGATGATGAGGAGGTAGAGGAGGAGAGGAGGATGAGGATGATGATGGTGATGATGCTGATGATGATGGTGGTGTTGATGATGCTGAGGATGATGGTGGTGATGACGATGGTAATGATGTTGATGGTGATGATGATGATGATGATGATGATTATGATGATGATGATAATGATGATGATGATGTGGATGATGATGCTGATTTTGTTGTCCCTGCTATGGAAGACCGATGGTCCCCCTGAGCACAAAGCGTTGCATTAGTCAGATGGTGTCTTGATTGGGCAGTTCGCTGCGCATTCGCATGGACAATTTGACGACAATGTGAAGGCTCAGGAGGAGGGAAAGAGGACGATGACCAGGGGCAAAGAGAATAGGGAGGCGGAGGAGGAAGAAGAGGAGGAGGAGGAGGAGGAGAAGGTCCAGGACGATGGGCGCGAAGGAGCCATCGGAAGGAGGGCGGCCTGGCCCCGAACCAGTCATCCACAGTGCTCTCCGGCAGCCCTCCTCGCGTCCCCAGGCCCTCCCCTGCGACGCTGCACTCAGAAAGCTCGACCGCTTCCCTGGGGACAGGCTTCATCTCCCGACTCGCTGTTGGACGGCTCCATGAGCCCGGACGTTGCCTCAGGAGGCCGAGTGTTGCGAAAAGCCCGCAGTCGTTTTTGTCTTGCGGCGTCCCGGTCTGCGGGGAGGTCATGTGGGGGCTGCTCGATCCAGAGGTTCGTAGAGGGGGGCTGTCCCAAGGTGGGATTAGGGAACGAGCCGCTCACATGTTCTTTTTTGGGGGGACGTTTGGAGCTATTTTCCTCCTAACCCCACCTCTGCTCCAACCCACCTTTCAGTCCCGCCGACCGATGCAACATTGTGCTCCTCCATCTTGGAGAGGGAACTCGGATGCCCTCCGTGGTCTGCAGTGGTTCTGGGGACGGGGGGGTCAGACGGCTCCGTGCGAACGGCCCTCGACGAAGAGCAGCATCACCTCCCCCCACACTAGCTGCAATAGACAAGCTGGGCTTCAGGTTTGCTTCATCTAGCTGCGCTCCCAAGTACAAATCCACACACACACACGCACACACGCACACACACACACGGACACACACGCACGCACGCACGCACGCACGCACGCACGCACGCACGCACGCACACACACACACACACACATACGCACACGCACACACACGCACACACACACACACACGCATACATACGCACACACACATACGCACGCACGCACGCACGCACGCACGCACGCACGCACGCACGCACGCACGCACGCACACACACACACACACACACACACACACACACACACACGCAAAGACACAAACACACGCACGCGCGGCATGGCACCTAGTATCTATCCCCAGACACCCACAGCACGTAAGTACCCCTCGAAGAAGGCACACCTGCCTGCACGAACATTGCCAGCCATTTTGAGTTTCGCGCTGTTCCTTAAAAATGAACGTGCGTTACACTAGGCATCAATGTTCTCCCATTCCTGGTGTGCGCTTCCTGCATCTTGGACTTCCTCCGAGGATCGATTGAAGCTAAACGGTGCTCGCCCATTCCGTAGTCCGTTGGCGTCTTCTTCCATCTTAGACGTATTCCTGACGGTTTGCTCAGTCTTCTGGGAGCCCCTTGCGCGGAGGCTTGGCATGGACGTGGACCACTCGGACGAGCTCGGACTGACGATCTCGCACATCGAGCCGGGAGGGGACGGGCGAGAGTACTGGCTCGGCGTCGCGTACTGGAGGGGTAATAACTGAGGGGGGCAGCGAGGGCTGCAGAAAAGGGGCCCTTTTGGGACCCCTCAAAGGGGCGTTTTAGGATACGAAAAAAGGGGCCTCTCGGGCCCGAAAAGTTCATGAAACGACGCCCGGACTGCAGAGTGTGGGCTCGGCCACGGCCGGAGGCGGGGAGGGGAGGGGAGGGGGCGAGGAGGAGGAGGAACAGTGGACGGAGATCAAACGCTTTCGGGCTCCAGGCTCCGAGTGGTTCCAGGGGGATTTGAAGGGGCGGTCAAGCAGGGGAGAGGGGGGGGGGGTAGATCGGACGTTCTTGATACGTTTTCGAGCTCCAGGCTCCACGCGTTTCCAGGGGGAATCTGAAGGGGCGGTCAAGCAGGGATGGTGTGTGTGTGGGGGGGGGAGGGCAGAACAGGGCCAAGAGCATTCAGCATCTTCGATCTTCGAGCCTCGACGGTCGAGGTGGGAGGGAGGGGGAGGGGGTGAGAGGGCGGGGCACTGCGCCGACCCGCTGCTGCGGCACATCTCGCGGCACTCTGGGCACGCGCGAGCTCGAAGGTGGCCTGCCGAGGCGGCGCGGGGGAACAGAGCGGACGGGGCGATTGGGGGGGCGGGGGCCCTGGCCAGGGGCGGCGCGCTCAGCCCAGATGGCCGCCGCAGGGGCCCGGTACAGTCTCACAGCCCGCCGAGCACCCCGAGACCGACGAGAAGCTGGAAATTCCCGCCTCCTCCTCTTCCCCTTCTCCTCCTCCCTCCTCCTCCTCCTCCTCCTCCCTCCGCCTCCTCCTCATCCTCCTCCTCCTCCTCCTCGTCTCGTCCTCTCCTCCTCCTTCTCCTCCTCTCCTCCTCTTCCTCTTCCTCTTCCTCCTCCTCCTCCTCCTCGCCCTCCTCCTCCCTCCACCTTTTCCCTCCTCCTGTCCCTCCTCCTCCTCCTCCCTCCTCCTCCTCCTACTCCCCCTCCTCCTCCTCCTCCTCCTTCTCCTCCTCACCCCCTCCCCCTCCTCCTCCTCCTCCTCCTTCTCCTCCTCCCCTCTTTCTCCTCCCCCTCCTCCTTCTCCTCCTCCTCCTCCTTGTTCTCCTCCTTCCTCCCCTCCTGCTCCCCTTCCTGCGCCTCATCCTCCTCCGTCCTCATCCTCCCTCCTCCATCCTCCCCCTCCCGCCCATCTGGGGGGAATCTGGCTCCGTTTCTAATCCCCCGATCGAAAGAACAATCAAGCACACACAGATGCCGAAGTGCTAAAACCGCAGGAAGTCTGGGGCTCTACGGCCGGAATGGCACTGCCTTGAAGCGTCGGCCGAATGTCGCTCGCATGCGCAGTTGTGTTGTAGAGCTCGGACTGGGCTGCTTGCGTCCAGTCCTGGGTGGTAGCCCCAGCCTCCGGCCTCCCTAGCTCCCTGGCCCCTGGCCTCTGGCCTCCCCCCAAGGCTTCGGACTGCTCGATGCTCGTCGCCGTGGTCATTTCGTCGTGGCCTCCACTGGCCCTCCTCCCCTGGCTTCCGGCCTCGCCGGCCTCCGTTGGCTGCCTGCCGCCCCACACCCACACCCAGGGGAAGTCGAGCCTCCTCCTCCTCCTCCTCCTCCTCCTCCTCCTCCTCCTCCTCCTCCCGGCAATCAAGCCGGAGATGTCAGTCGTGGAGGCGCGCCGCAACTTCTGCCGAGAGACTACCTGCCCTCGGAGGCCCTTGCGGCCCGGCTTGGGCCCCGCACGAGCTCAGCTTCGCTCGGAAGGGCTGGTCGCGGGACGAGGGCCAGAGGCAGTGGGGCGGAAGGCCTGCTCCTCGCCAAGTGGAACTCAGACCACCCCGACAAGGCCGTCAAGAGAGGCGACTGCATCGTGGAGGTGCGCGGCCTCCAGCTCTTCCGATTCTGTCGTTTTGGAGGGGGATCGGGGGTCGAGGTCTGAGAGTCGAGGTTCGAAGATCGAGGCGGGTCACCATCGGGGAGGCGGAGAAGGACGAGACGAAGGAGGTCCTCCTCCTCCTTCTCCTTATCCTGCTTCTTGTGTTTCTCCTGCTCCTCCTCCTCCCCTCCTCCTCCTCCTCCTCCTCCTCCTCCTCCTCCTCCTCCTCCTCCTCGCCCCCCTCCTCCTCTTCATCCTTCTCCCCTTCTTTCCGCTCCTCAGGAGGAAGATGAGAGGAGGACCTTGGAGGTCCGGGACGTCCTCCACTGGAGGAGGGGGCGTGTCGAGGACCCAGGACCGAGTCGCAAGGATTGGGCCCCGGTGCCCGTCGAAACGAGCCGGGACGAGACAAAGGTCCCCAGCAATTGGTCGTCCCTGTTTCTTGTGTTTTTCCTGCTTCTCCTCCCCTCCTCCTCCCCCTCCTCCTCCCCTCCTCCTCCTCCCCGCGAGTTGTAAGGAGGTTGAAACGAGCTGGGACGAAACAAAGGTCCCCAGCAATTGGTCGTCGCTATGAGGGAGACGATAAAGTGGGGGGTGAGTACACTTCTCCTCGGGCCCGATAGGCCCCCGTTTGGGTCTGAACGGGCCCCTCTTCTGCAGCCCTCGGTGCCCCCCCCACTTATCTCCCCCCGTTACGCGACGCCCAGCAGCAGCTGGTCGAGAGTTCCGTGGCCCGCAGATCATGAAGACGTCATGATGTGGAACGTCTGAGAGGGGAGGCGGAAGGTGTCGGGAGGGAGGAAGGGCATCTCTGGCACGCCGCCGCTGCGAGCCCGTCAGCGTGGCTCCCGTCGCTCTTGCTCGGAGGCCTGGGGTTCAGTGAGCGCGCGCAGCCTGTGGCAGCAGCGGCCCTGCTCGAGCGGCCTTGCCCAGGAGGGCACCCGGCAACGGGATGGCCCACTGCGAGCAGCAGGGAGGGGCCTCCGAGCGGGCGCGGACACGCCATTCTGCTTTCGGGCGAGGTCCACCGAGGAGTTTCGGTACTTGCCTGTTGGTGGACGTGCTTGGTGTATGGTATCGGATACCATCGAGGTCTGTTCTTGAAATGCGTGATTTAAGTGTATGCAGTGTGGTTGCGTGGTTGGTGCATATACCCAGTCTGCGTTGCCGACGCTGGTCATGCTTGTTCGCGGTTGGGGTATGCAAACCTGGTCTATATGGGATGTACTTTCTCGATTCATGTGGCTGGTGTGTGATGGTGAGTGCGCTTGTTGGTGCGCATTTTCGGTACAGGTTCACCATTTACGTTGCTGGTGTGTGGTGTGTTCCTGATGCCTGGTTGATGGATGTTCACGAATTGGGTTGGTGCTGCCTGTTTCGGGTGCATGTCATTCGGGCATGTGTTTGATGCGTGTGTGTGTGTGTGTGTTTATGTGCGTGCGCACGTTGTTGGCATGCGCATTCGCTGCGTGTCCTTGATGCACTTGCATGATAGTGTGTTACGTCCATTGTTGTTTGCTGTGTTTGGATGGACTGATGTATCTTAGTTGTGTGCATGGTTGTGCAGTGCACTAATGACGTCAAGGCGTTCTGTGTGCTCGCCATGGTGTGTGTGGGGGGATTCGACGTGCGCTCGTCGTGTCTGGTCTGAATGTATGTGGTTGTGGTTGTGCTTGATGTGTCTTGTTTGACAAAGCTGCTTATGTGAGTGAATAATGCATATATTCGGTATTTGCTGTTGGTGTAATTGCTTGACTTATGGTATTGATGACTGTTGCTGTTGCTGCACCCTCTTAGAGTAGCTCCTTGATATACGCTGCAAGCGATATCGGGTGAGGTGTGATGTGTGAGTAAGTGTGTGTCCGCTCTTGTTGCGTGGTCTTGATGTGTGATTAGGTGGATGGTCTCGATGCACCCTTTTGGCAGCTGTTCAGGATGTATGCTCTGAAGTTCTCGTGCTCATGTATGTTCTTGGTGCCTGTGCTCGATGGCCGCTCTTTGTGTCGTGATTGCTCTTGATGTCTGTTAATAGGACATGTGTCCATGCGTGTGCTCGATGCCTGTTCTGGTTCCCTAAAAGCGTTGCGCTGCAGGGTTGTAATGTATGTGCCTTAGGGGGGTCCCATCGGCGGAGACGGGGAGCCCGAGGACGTTTGGTCCAGCAGCCGATGCGGCATTCGTTCCGCTGAATACCTCCGCGTGATTTGCTCAGGAGCCCTGCACTCGCCCCGATGACGGCTACATTTTTTTGGTCTGGGCGGCCGCGATCGTGCGCAGAGCATGCAGTACGGAGTTGGCACACGGCCACGATCCCTTGCGGAACCATCCCTCGTGTTCACACGGCCGTGCTTTCACCCCTGCTACACGGCCATATCCCCAGTAGAAAATCCATTGCGGTGCACATGGCCGTTCTCTCACCCCCATCACACGGCCACGAGCCTCAGCAGAACATTCTGTACGGAGGACATGGTCGCGTTGTCACGCTTGTCCAAGCGGCCACGGTCCTCAGCAAAAAGTTCACTACGGTGCACATGGCCGTGATCCCACCCCTGCCACACGGCCACGATTTGTGTCACAAATGCACTCTTGGGCACGTGGCCGTCCTCTCGCCCCGGTCACACGGCTGCGATTTTTTCATGAGAAATACATTGCAGGGCACATGGCCGTGCGCTCGCCCCTGTCACACGGTTGCGATCCATGAACAGAAACAGGATTGCGGTGCACATGGCCCATGGCCGTGACCACACCCCGGTCACACGGCCATGATTTTTTGCAACTGATACGTTGCGGTGCACGTGGCCGTGCCCTCATCCCTGTCACACGGCCACGATCCCACGCTGCACATGACCGTGCCCTCACCCTTGTCACATCTAGGAATCCTTAGGGACACACAGTAATGCACGTTTGGCCTCACCGACCTCCTACTCCTCGACCTGCCTCTTCACCTTTGCTGCTATTAGGGTACTTTGGTGGGGCAGTTGTCTGTTACCGATGTATGTTCTCGATGTCTGTTCTACATCATGTCTGTGGACAGCGTGACGTGGTGACGTCTGGACGGCATGACGCCTCCATGATGCGTGCGTCTGTTTGGCACCCCTGTTCCATATGGCTGTTGATCATGGCGGCATTGGACTATGCGGCGTCTCTGCTTGTACGTTGTATGCTTTGTGTGTGAATGTTACGTAGTCCTGTTGTAAACGTGCGTTCTAAATGAGTGGTGTTTCTGCCTGTTCTTCCTGCACGTTGTGTGTGTATTCACTTCTTGGTGTCTGGCTTTTGCGGGTGCTCATTATGCCGCCATTCGTCGAAGACCCGAGGCGGGATTCCCAAGGAGCGCCGGGTCCGCCGGGTCCCTTGGGGCCCGGCGGCCGCGGCATGCAGCCATGATCCGTCGAAGGCGCGAGGCGGGATCCCCAGGAAGCACCCGGACCCTTTGGGGCCCGGCAGGCCACGGCATGCAGTCGTCATGTGTCGGAGATGCGAGTCGGGACTCCCAGGGATCAGCGGGCGAAGAACGGTATAAAATAAACTTTTTCGCCGTCGGGGACACCTGCCCCTGGGCGGCTGGAAAGTTTATACCCCTACGGTGCCACCGTAGGGGTACACACTTGCCAGCCGCCCTGGGGCAGGCGCCCCCGACGGCGAACAAGTTTATGCTATGCCGTTCTTCGCCCGTGAAAGGGAGCGCCGCGGCCCTCTGGCCCGGCGGCTGCGGCCCGCAGGGTGTGCGCAGCGGGTCGGAGTGCGCGCTTTCTTCTCGTCACGCAGCCTCAGCGCTGCCGAGGAACGCGCCGTTGGGAGCTTCGCAGGCAGACGGTGGGAGAGGGGGCGGCGGGGCGAGGCGTGAGGGAGGGTGCGTGTGGGGCAGGAGGGAGAGAGGGAGAGAGAGGGCGGGAGGGATCGAGAGAGGGAGCAGGAGGGCGCGCGAGAGAGAGAGGGAGTGAGAGGGACTGGGAGGGGGAGAGAGAGCGAGAGAGAGAGAGAGGGAGAGAGAGAGGCAGGAAAAGGGAGAACGAGGGGGAGAGAGATAGAGAAAGAGAGAGAGAGAGAGAGACTGGAAGAGGGAGAGTGAGGAGAGAGGAAAAAGGGGGAGAGAGAGGCAAAGAGAGAAACATAATAATTGACTTGAGAGGGGGGAGACGCAGATAGCGAATGGAGGTAGAGATGGAGGGAAATAGTGTGTCTGGGACGAACGTAGCGATATGCGAGGGGAAGGGGAGAGGCTAGCAGATCCCCCTGGGTTTATGCCGACACCCAGCAACACATCGTCCTCTCCCTTCTCCTCCCATCCATCCATCCTCTGTGTCTCCCCCCGTCTTTCTTCCTCGTCCGTGGTCCCTCCCTCTCCTCCTCTCTTTCCCCCCCCACATCCTCCTCCCCGCCCTTCCCCCCTCTCCCGCCTCTGTTCCCCCCCCCCCTCTCCCCCCCCTCCCCCTCCTCCTCCTCGCCCCGCCCAGGTCAACGGCGTGACGGGAGACCCGGCCCGGCTGGTCAACGAGTGCACAAAGGAGCGCCCCCCTCCGCCTCCTCGGGAAGTGGGCGCGCGCCTCCCGCGCTCAGGAGGGAAGCAGGGCAGGGAGGAGGACGAAAGGGGTAAAGGAGGACCTCTGCGACGCGCGAGGCAAGAGCTCCTGACCGTAGCCGGGTAAGGGGCAAGAGGAGGAGGAGGAGGAGGAGGAGGAGGAGGAGGAGGAGGAGGAGGAGGAGGAGGAGGAGGAGGAGCAGGAGGAGGAGGGAGGAGGAGGAGGAGGAGGAGGAGGGAGGAGGAGGAGGAGGAGGAGGAGGAGGAGGAAGAAAAAGAGGGTAGGCAGCAGTAGCAGCAGCAGCAGCTGCGCGGGCGCCCAGCCGCGCCCGTGGCGCATACACCGCATAGACCACCCTTCGGATGATAAGGAAGCGAGGGGGGGGGGACCACCGTCGCACTCGATCGATCTCACTATCGATCTCGCTGTCGATCTCATTATCGATCTCATTCGATCAATCTCACAATCGATCTGGCTATCGATCTCACACTCGATCTCACTAACGATCTCACTATCGATATCACAATCGATCTCACAATAGATCTCACAATCGATCTGGCTATCGATCTCACATTCGGTCTCACGATCGATCTCACTACCGATATCACTATCGATCTCATTCGATCGATCTCACATTCGATCTCACAATCGATCTCACATTCGGTCTCACTATCGATCTCACGATCGATATCACAATCGATCTCATAATCGATCTCACAATCGATCTGACTATCGATCTCACTATCGAACTCACTATCGAAGTCATGATCGACCTCTCGTTCGATCTCATTATCGATCTCACTATCGATATCACAATCAACATCACAATCGATCTCACATTCGGTCTCACTATCGATCTCACTATCGAACTCACTATCGATCTCACTATCGATCTCGCATTGGGTCTCACTATCGACCTCACTATCGATATCACAATCAATCTCACAATCGATCTCACATTCGGTCTCACTATCGATCTCACTACCGAACTCACCATCATCATCACCATCTTCATCATCGTTGTCAACATCATCATCATCATCAGCATCGTCATCATCATCATCATCATTATCATCATCATCATCATCATCATCATCATCATCATCATCATCATCATCATCATCATCATCATCATCATCATCATCACCGACGGGACACCGACGGGACACCGGCGGGACACCGCGGGGGCCGCCGGAAGGGAATCATTTGGTCCCCGGAAGGGACACCACATTTTTGGTCCGGCCGCGCCTCAGCCACACGGGACACCAGCGGGACACCGGCGGGACACCGCGGGGCCCCGGCCGCCCGGAAGGGAATCATTTGGTCCGGCCGCGCCTCAGCCACAGGAGACTTTCTCTCGCCCGCCCACGCAGCTTCGCCTCGCACGCACGGCACGCACGAACACGAAACCGAAATCGATTTCCCGGTAGGGGGGCTCTCCGTTCCACTTCGATCTCACCCCCTCACCTCCGATCTATATGTATACATAATAACCCCGGCTCCCGTCCGGCGCCCCCCCCCCCCCCCCAGATGGGATGGGTCCCAGGACTCGGCGGGCCCCCCCCCCCAGTGGGATGGGGTGGGGATGTCGCCGCCGTCGTCGTCGTCGCCGTCGTCGTCGTCGCCGCCGTCGTCGTCGTCGTCGCCACCGTCGTCGTCGCCGTCGTCGTCGTCGCCGTCGTCGTCGTCGCCGTCGTCGTCCCTTGCTCTCCCCCCTCCCTTCTCTCCCCTCGCCCCCACATGTCTCCCTTGCTCCCCCCCCCTCTCTCACGCCCTCTCTGGAACGAAGAGGCGGAAAGGAAGGCAGAGGCAGACGACGACGGCGGCGAAAAAGCCGACGGCGACGATGAAGATTTTTCTCAGATCGCCGACGTAACCTCGGAACGCGCCCCCACCACCCCACACCCACACCACACCCAAAGGGGGGGAAGGGGCCCAGGCCCATCGGGAGGGACGGGGGGGCGGGGGGGGGGCCCAATACCATCAGCATGGTGGGGGAGTGGGGGGCCCAGGACCTGGATCGTATATCCTGCCCAGGCAGCTCGAGAAGTCCTCGCTTCCTTGCTCAAGGCGGTACTCCTCCTCGCCGCCGAAAGCCGCCGCCCCCACGAACCAGCGCTCCCGCCCGAGACTTCCTCCCGTTTGTACGCTGGGCTCGCGCCGTACCCTCTCTTGAATTAGCGCCGCTCCCAGCAAGAACAACGCTCCCGCTCGAGGCTGGTGGCGGGCGCGGAGTGGCGCCAACACCGCAGTTGGTCCGGAGGCCGCGCCAGGCCCTTCCCTTGCCTCCTCTCGGAGTTGTTGCTGTCTGTTTGGGGTGTTGTCGGGTACATTCGGGAAGGGGTCCCACAGGCTTCCCTCCCCTCCTCTGCTCCAGATCTCGCAATGAAGCCATACGACTGCTACTCTCGCTCCTCCCCTGCTGATGTCCAGGAGATCTCCCGCCCCCTCCGCGTGCTGCTTTTCAGACAGGGTTTCGAACATTGATTTGTCCTGTGGCTATAAAATGCTGTTGGTGGTTCAAAGCGGTGCTCCCGCTGCAGCGTGGGCCTCATTTTCGGATCGGCGCGTTGCTCCGGTCGTTCAGAATGACGCTCTCGCCCCAGCGCGGGCCACTTTTTTTGGATCCGAGTCTTGCTTCATTGTGGGCTCCCCATCATTTCCTCTCCTCCGCCTTCCCCTGGTCCTACTGTTCCTCCCGCTCATTCCACTCCAGTCCCTGTTGCTGTTCGTCACGCTCCGTTGCGGACCATTTTTCTGAATCCGAGTCTTCATTCATCG